GAGGCGGAGGCGAAGGAGGAGGAGGGGCTTGACGGGGCGGCGGCTACCGTCGCTGCGCCTAAACCTAAGAAGGGGAAAGCCGCGTTGCCCCTTAAAAGAGACAGAGTATGTTCGAAATCTTGTAATGTTTTGATCTGGGTGTGAATTATAATTTGATTGCGGGTTGTGTTCTCTTTCGTTGCTTGGAGGATGTAACCACTCTGGATTGGTCTAACGGCCATGATACTCGTGAAAAAGTAAAAGAGTTCTAAGGGAATGAATTCAAATCACGGTGACATAACGAAATATTGTAGGATTAGGTAATGGTCTCGTAGGATTAGTCTGAGGTGTTTTAAAATGGTTGTGGTGGACTCTTGGGTGTTTAAACTTTACGAGTTTAAAGTTGGCCTCGTTTTTTGGTTGCTGCAGTCATCAAGGTCATTAGCCAAGTTCCCTTTTCTTTGTCTTTCTTTCCATGTGCTCATTTCATGATTGATGTCTGAATTCAGTTTGTTATGTGATATGTCAGAGGAGATCGAAGAGATTCTTGGAGATTCAAAAACTGAGGGAAAACAAGAAAGAGTATGACCTCAAGACAGCAATATCTCTGCTCAAGGAAATGGCTAGCACAAAGTTTGTAGAAACAGCCGAAGCCCATTTCCGGCTCAATATTGATCCCAAATACAATGATCAACAGCTGAGAGCAACCGTGAGTTTTTGTTTTATAAATCATGATTCCTTTATTGGTAAGGAGTTGTAAAGAATATTTATATCATGAGGTAATTTTTTTGAATGCATTGATGCAGGTAAATCTGCCTAAAGGGACTGGGCAGACTGTTAGAGTAGCTGTTCTTACTCAAGGTAGTTACTTTTAATGCTTGAGCAGCTTTCTCTTTCTCTTTAACTTAATACACAGTTAGCTTTAGTAGTGTTTCTTATGCAATGTTACTTATGTTTTTTAGAACAAAAATTTAGTAAAAATATGTTTGGGAAACTATTTTTTAAAAGCTTTTTTTTTCATATGTTTTCATGGATGACCCGATTTTTAGAATAAGTGAAGTTATTCTTCCTCTCAAAATAAGGAGTTTGTGAATAAGCCATCAGATCATAATGTTTTAAAATAGTTTTTACAATAGTTAGCTAATCAAGCCCAAACTATCTTGATTGCAAACAAGAAACTTTCTGGAGTTATCTTCGTGTTTAACTCTAAGCTAAGTTTGGGTAGTAGAGTTTTTACCATAATTTGAGGTTTCTACCGTGTAGTTGTTCTTAAGTGGTCCGTGGATGGGTGAAGTCCAGTCTCCTGGCACTTTGATTCCTGGTCAAACCAAACAGTAGGATTTTATGCATCTAGACTCCTTTTTCTCGAGTGGTTACTTTTTCAGAAATCTTTACTGTGAAGGTTGCAATTATAAAAAGTTGAAATAAATATACAGGTGAAAAATTCGATGAAGCCAAAAATGCTGGAGCAGATTTGGTTGGTGGGGAGGACTTGATAGAACAGATAAAAGGAGGATTTATGGATTTTGACAAATTGATTGCTTCCCCAGACATGATGCCTAAGGTGTTGCTCTGACTACATTACTTTAATCTTTCTTTCAATTATTTTTTGAGATTTTTATAATTTTTGCAATCGATAAGTCTTCCTAAACAAGTGAATTAGATGTTTAGAGAGTTAGAATTACACTGATGATCCTGTTTATGTAATGTAAAAAGAAAATGAGATACATGAACACCAACTAAACAGTTACACTGGGTCTTTTAATCCATTTTGGTCATAGATATAATTCCTAGATTTTGTTGATCAAAGTGCTTGCCTCATGCCTAAAGCCAAATTTAAATCATTCTCTGAAATTGATGAAGTCTCTTTGTATGCAAATGTTTTCTAGCCTTGTATAATTGTCATCGGAGTAAAATTTTGATTACCCGTATTACTATAATGGAATAATTGATTTCCATTTTCTAATCTTCTCTACTTGTTTCAGGTTGCGAGCCTCGGTAAGCTCCTGGGACCACGGGGACTCATGCCAAATCCAAAAGCCGGTACTGTAGCAACTAATTTACCTCAGGTATTTATAAACTTCTTTTGGTACCTGCAGTGCATCTAGTAAAAGAAATTCAAGACTTCATCTAACCCATGAACTAAGCTCAATTTCAGGCAATTGCAGAGTTCAAGCAGGGGAAAGTTGAATACAGAGCAGATAAAACCGGGATAGTTCACTTACCATTTGGAAAAGCCGACTTCAGTGAAGAAGACCTTCTCATAAACCTGCTTGCTGCCATAGTACGTCTTCCCTTCTTCTCTCCATAGCTGTTAGTCTCTAAAAACGCGTCTCGATAATTTTCCAATAAGTCATTTTCTGCTAACTCTGACAGAAATCAGTGGAAACCAATAAGCCATCAGGTGCAAAGGGTGTATACTGGAAAAGCACTCACATCTGCTCGTCGATGGGGCCTTCAATTCGGTTAAATATAAGGGAGATGCTTGACTTCAAGCTTCCCTCGAGTGCTTGACAAATGACAAACCTGTAAATTTCTCCTGTTTGTTAGAATCAGCCTCTCGGGGATCCACTGGAATATAATGCCCAAATGTGAGCAGCATTGGAAGGAAGATGATAGAAAACACTAGGATGAAGAATGAGGAGGAGACATCAGAGACTTATGATCACACAGAAACAAGCATACTCCATAGTCTTCTATACTGACTCAATCACTTTGTATTGCTCGTGTTAAGTTCTTATTGATCTAATACACTTTGATTGACCTCTTGGGTTTTCAGAGTAAAAAAGTTTAGATAAATGTGTACTGGAATGTATTGCCCAGTTGCTGCTCTTTTCCATGGGCCATTTTGGAAAGTGGTTGTTTTTTAGTTCTCTTGCATATTGAGTTCAGGAACCAAAATAAAATTGTGAAACTAACTTGAATAATGCCATTTACGATGGATTGATGGCAATTATTTTTTGAAATATTTTAAAAATACAAAGATCGAAATAGACATTTAAAAAATATAGGGTATAAAATAGAAAAAATGTAAAACACATGGACCAAAACGAAGTACCGACGGTATTTAAACTTTTAAGAAAACAATTTCAAATAAATATTTTTAGATGATTAACCTTGTAAGTTAGAAAATCTAATCTTGACTGGTTGAATGCACTCCTAGAGGGTTGATCTTGATGCTAAAATCTTAATGGACTTGATAGTTTTTTCCACAACCTGTCCTCAAAGGTTGTGAATGCTTCAATGACATCCGCACATTGACATCCCAATCTCTTAACAATCCTTCTATCCATTCGCTACAAGAAAAGAAAACTTTTGTGGTTATTTCCAAATGGGAAGCAAAAATATCTAAATCCCAAATATCCAAAAACTCCAGACTTTTATAACTCCTTTTTCCCATTTTTTCTTGTTGATCCCTCTCCCCACTCATGGCCACTGCCAGCAGCTTATGTTCATTGCCCACTCAATCCCCAACGCTCCCATCCATCTCTCTCTCCTCACTTCCATCGCTCAAAACCCATCTTCCCCCACAATCCCATTTCCTCTTTCCCCCTTTCTCCACCAAGTTAGGGTCAAATTTCGACTGGAATGAGACAATAGCCGTCCTGCCGCCGCAGGAGACGGCGGTTCTGGCGGTGGAGGCCGCGAGAGAGCATGTGCTGCCGGAACCCACTTGGGTCTCTGAAACTTGGAGCTGTGGAAAGCTTGAGAGAGTGGAGGAGAGCTGTGGGGATGATGGGTTTGTGGGTTGGAAGAAGAAGAGAAGGAAAAGGAGGAAAGAGGTGGGGGAGAAAGCTGAGGAAGGTGGGGTTGCCTTGTCTAGTGGCCCCTTGAGGCCTGGATATTTGACCCCAAAAGAAGAAGCAGAGCTTTGTCTGTGTCTCAAGGTTGGTTTTAGTAAGATTTAATGTGGTTTTTTGTCCTTGTCTGTGCCACCATTTTAGTCTTTTGGGAGCTTACTTGAAGAGATGACATATATTTGTGTGTATATTTTTGAGACCGTGAGTATCTGGATCAGTTTATGCACACTTCGATTAATCTTAATAGATGCTGCAATAAAAAAATTAGTAGAATTTTAGAATTTTAGATGGGTGGCATGCACTTCGACTAATCTTAGGAGACAATTAATTATCATAACCTGCCACGAAAGAACCAGTAGAATTTTAAAATTTAGATAGGTGGCAACGAATTTAAACTCATAGCTGTATCTAGACTAACTCTATGTATACTTCAACTAATCTTAGAACCATTGGATGCCCAGTAATGAAAGAACTAGTAAAATCTTAAAATTTTAGGTAGGTGGCAACAAATAAACCCATAGCTTTTTTTGTTTGAAAGAAACAATTTCATTGATGTATGAAATTGACCCATAGCTTTAAACTCTACTTTTTTAACTTGTTAGTGGTCATTGTTTGCTTGTATATATTTCTCTTTAAACCCATAGCTTTAGACAGAATTATTTCATTATATTATGATTTTCACTTGGTTTTAAAACTAGGACTTAAAATATATGTTTTGTTCTTCAATTTTTTAGTGTTTAGAGCATATTGTATTTAATAGAATCTGATGACAAACTAAATGCATGTGGCTTAGTATAGAACAAAGTCTATAGGATGTCCACATGAGATTTCTTGATAGTGTAATATAGAAATCTAGCAGCAAGGATCAAAGTGAAAATTTATATAAAGGTGAGAGGCCAACAACAAAATGTTTGACAATACAAGGATGAGAATGAAAGAAGTATAAAAATTTAGGACTAAAGTAGAATTCAAACCTTTGTATTAATACACTTCAAATCATGTAAAATTGTTTGCCATTTTGATACATGATGGTAAGCTTTTGCACATTATTTACACTTCACAGGAGGCAGCACAGCTTGAAAAGGCAAAAACTAGAATCATGGAAACTCAAGAGCATGAACCTACAAATAAGCAATTGGCCATTGCCACGGGCACCAATTTAAGGTGTATAGATAGGATTCTTTGTAGAGCAAAAGAATCAAGGGATCGGCTCATTCAATGCTATAGCAAACTAGTCGTCTCGATTGCTGCTCCATATCAAGGCAAAGGATTAAGCCTTCAAGATCTCACTCAGGTAGGTTGTTGCACATATAACCTCTTTTGGATTGTTTTTATTCTTTATTTTTTTTTGCAGTTTACTAATAGGATCCGATTACAAGAAAATGACAATGTAACTATATCACAATTATCAAAGAGAGATTACAATATCAATAGCCTTTCGAGAGGGCTATCTCTCTCCCAAGACTCTTACTAGACTATTCCTGAAAACTATCCTCCCTTCCTCTCTCTAATTCCTCTATTTATAACGGCCACTTCAACCCTAATTAATTATCATACTGTCTGCAACTAATATACTAATAATATTTCCAACACATTTTACCCTCACATTTACTTAAAATGTTTGTTTGTTTTGTAGGAAGGAAACATTGGTCTTCTTATAGGGGCGGAAAGGTTTGAACCAAATAGAGGACATAAGTTATCGACTTATGCTTATTGGTGGATAAGACAAGCTATAATTCGAGCCTTAGATAACAAGTCGAGACTTGTTAGATTGCCGGTAAGATACTGTATAAATTCCTCATTTTCACAATTAGATCATCATACAGAAGATATTAGAGAAGTTTCAAATGATAGTTGAATCTTGCTCCATTAGAAGGAGCTCGTCTGTAGGCTTGTAGCCAACAAAATCAAAACTAAGTCAAAGTTATGACAAGAAACGTATAAAGTAACCACCAAGAATAAGACATACCAAGGTAATAAGGAAGAACTTTTAGTTCGAAACCTGATTTTGTTCGTGTAAGTTTGCTTTCTATTTAGGATATTAATTGTTGTATCACCTTTTCACAAAAAATGGAAAAATAAATCTGTATAAAAGTTTCTTTTTTCGTTTCTATTTCCACAAAGTTTTGTTAGCTAAAGATTTTGAGTTGTGGAAGGTGAGCTGGTAATTAGTGAATGCTCGGTTAGCTCGCTGTGTGCAGGGTCACATGGGCCAGATGGTAGCAAGAATAGCAGAAGCAAATAATCATCTTGGCATTAAGTTATCACGACTGCCCACCCACAAGGAAATTGCCGAGTCGCTCAACGTTCGTGTTTCAACGGTAAAATTGGTGACAGAAAGGAGTAAGCGCCCGATTTCGCTCAATCAACCAGTAACTGATCGAGGTTGCTTAACCCTGCAGGTACTTCTTACCAAAGTCAAACTTAGTCTTTTGCCAAAGGGGATACGCCCTTTTTCATGCTTCTTGCCACTATTCTACAATAATTTACAACATTTCACTCATGATCCTCTATAATTGAAGTAATGCCAAAGTTTTTCTTTTTTTGGGGCGCTCTCAATCGGAGGTTGACTCCTCAAAGGGGTCGCATATCAACTAGTTATTTTTTCAGTTAGATTAACTCTTAGGATTTGCTTATTCTGGGATGACGAAGAATAATGGAGTTTTGCTTAGAAGAAGTCCAATCATTCTCTCCTGTTCTAGTAAACAAATGCCAGTGTCTGAGTCATTTTATGCAACATCGACTAATTTCACACGACAGGTACTTGACTTTTACAATATTTTACATCATAAAGCTCAAAGTATAATCCGTCCTAGATACATAGCCACCAATACCATGGTTCAAACCACCTACGAGTTTTTGTTTCAGTGATAGTTATGGCATATTGAAATTCTCTCTTTCTCAATGTTTTGCCAGGAGATCATGCCAGGGCCAGACAATTTGACACCAGAGAATATGGTAATGAGAAAACTGATGAAGCAAGAACTGAGGAGGCTTCTTAATACTCTTAGCAAAAGAGAAGCTCACATAATGAGATTGTACTTTGGCCTTAATGGAGAGATTCCACAGTCTTTTGAGGAGATTGGAAAGTCAATGAACCTCTCGAGGGAGACGGTTCGGCGAGTCAATATCGCTGCATTGTCAAAACTAAAGAAAACTGACATTCTAGACTATCTTAAAGATTATGTAGTGTAGATATTTGAAACTATCATGAAAAGTTACAAGAAAAGCTAAAGATAGACTGGATGAACTATTGGAAGGATTTGTACAGTGTTGTCAAATTCAATTGTATGCTATCTTTGAATCCCTCTTTGGTGCAGCAAAAGGAGTTATATAAATGGTTGCAACCAAATTGGAATTGGTTTGGTCGATGTATATAGAAGTTCAATTGATCGATCAAAGAGTTGATTCTTTTGTATGAAAAATTGACCTGTTGGTTGGTTGGTCAATATAATAAATAAGAAAACGTATCGATTGATGATTGCATTACGCATTTTTAGTGTTTTGTGATTTTTCAAATACGATATGGACAACATGTAAAAATATTTTATGGAAGTTAGAAATGTTGATCCTAGGCACCTACTTGAGCATAGCTCAATGGACTAAAGCATAAAGCATATGTTCTCAAACTTTGATCGGAAGTTTGCATTTTTACTTCTGCATGTTGAACTTAAGATAGGCCTTAACATTTTAATATATAATTAACTTATCGATATCATCATTCGATTTTAATACATGGATCTTTCTAACTTAAAGAATTGATAGTTTCTTTTTTTTTTCTAACCGAGAATTGATAGTTTCTTAATCCTAGACTATAAACAAGTATGGACAATCGTGCTAAGATATCTTATATCTTTATCTAGTTGATGATAGATGTAGGATGTAACATTTTAATATATAATTAACTCATCGATATCGTCATTCGATTTTAATATATTGATCTGTCTAACTTAAACAATGGATAGTTTCTTAATCCTAGACTATAAACAAGCTAAGTTTGGACAATCGCCTTAAGATATCTTATATCTTTGTCTAATTGCTTATATATTTATCTAGTTGATGATAGATGAAAGTGAGGATGGTTATACTTATAGTCAACCTTTTCATTTATATACTTTAGGTGAATTCCATTCATTTAGGTGAACTTCATTGTTGTCGAGAATTATGTTAAATGAAATAGCCTCCATGTTTTGGTAGTATGAACATAGTTTACGGTTAAAGCATTATCTATCTATTTTAAAGGTAAAAGGTCAAATAGTCTAATCTACACATTGTTAAAAAAACGTAGTTCATTAGCAAATCTTTACTTTGTGATTCAACATAACTTACAAAAGCATTTTAGATGAAGTCAACAAGAAGTTCACTTTAACAAATGATTAACTCATAAATATGAGCAATCATGATTAGACCATTGGAACTATATTTACAATAACATTGAACCACAAGTATATACCTTGCAATTATCCCTAAAAGAAACTGCAATATTTTCTTCTACCAGGAGATTTGGGACAGGAAATAGCATTCAGCTCTTACACAGACATTACAGGAAATAAGAGCATCCAAAACCAAACAAATAAAGGCTTCATATGATAAATTCCAAAGCTCCATCAATATGCTCTTCCTTGGAATACAGACTTTGTATTCCTATTCTGGCCTGTGTAGATTATGGAGGATGTATAAAGAAGCAGACGACAGGAAAATGCAGACGGAATAACTCAGTAGATCGAGACCAGTGGCTATTGTTACCATCTTGCTTCTCTCGAACATTTTTACTAAAAGAATCATGACAATAACATGTCCTACTTTCGTCTTCAATTCATCAAGAGAGCTGATTTTCATCCATTTTGGTCTCTCCTGCAACCAATAACACCAGAACTTCAATGCCTTCTAGTGGGGAGAGAGAAAAACAAATGTACAAGTAGAGAAATTGAACCCAAAAAAACAAAATAAAAAACGTAGCAATTAGGCTCACATTCATTCTCTGTTCCAAAAGTTTCAAGCCAATACCAATACCAAGATTTTCATCCTCACTAAATAGTGTACAACCAATAATCTCCGTGGACCATTAGAGATTTTATCAAGTTCACTGAGAATTCTCAATTTTCATTCGGTAAGTGACTTGAATATATATAAAAGATTAGTATACCTTAACCTATACATAAGCATCTTGAGTTCGAATCTAATTGATATTAATAGTTTACATGTTAGCAATTCATGAATCAAATTAATATCTAAACCCAACCTGGAAGAGAATGTTAAGAATAAATACATATATATAAAAGATTAAATATACTCTAACATATCAATTCTAAGGATCCAGTGATGATTTAATACTCATCCAGAAGGAAATATAGTGCTGGTGAATGCATACTTGAGGACGTTATTGATTTTCTTAAAAGTAACAAGTTTTTAACCTACCTTCAAAGCAAACATTCCAAACAGCGAGGATCCTTTCAGGGCACGATCAACAAGGGGAGGTGCATCAGGAGACACATTACTGATGAACAATCCATATAGGCCCATCCCAAAGATTAACATGACAGTTCCAGCAAGATATACATCTGCATGTGGTAATAATTGATTATCGTTTTATGAACAAGAGATGCCTATGGGTTTGTTCAAGTGACACTAACAACGTAATTTAACACAAGGAGGAAGACAAAAATCGTGCTTTTAAATGAAGTTAGCACCTTTATACTTCCAGCTTGAAAAAGAAATATAGTAGAGAGAATATCCAAGGATCTTACCAATTGCTTCAACTAGTCGCAGAACCATTTGTCCGGTGTGAATCCCTTTGACACAGCTGGACCAGTAAACTTTATATGCATCACAAATATAAACGCAGCCCTTCAGACAAGCTAACAGCAGTCAAACTACACGTCCAATTGTGGTATCATAGATAAAACATATAATCTTCAATAGAAAAACCAAAATGATCTTATATAACACTTATGACCCCCACTAAGTGAAATTTCTACATGATTTATCTACAATATGTCCAAAACAAACAGCATGCAAAAGGAATTTAGTTGCATAGTGAAACAGTTTTATCTATGTATAGAATTCAATGACTTCTGTAGCAATTTCTTGCAAGAATTAGTTGTATGTAAGGAGAAAGTACATTGAGAAAGCACAGGAATGAACCGGCCAGTGAACCTCCAACAGCAAGCAGTGCCAAGAAACGGAAGTCAAAAATAGCCTGTTAACATCAGATAAGACAGATACAGTCGTTAGCCCAGCAAAGAGTTGAAAAATCAGACTCGAAAAAGTACTAAAAAAAAATTAACACAAACTCGGCATCATAATACTAGTTCATTCCCATCAAAGTTACAATAAAGAAATCATGCTCGCATAAAAGCCCATCAATTCTGGAATTAGTCAATCAAATTGAATAAGTTCAATTGGGACATACACATAATTAAGTCATAGTAGCAAAAAGTGACCCAATAAAATACGATTTCCGTTTCAAAGTATTCATGGATTGATTTACAGTCAGGAAAAGGTTACCAACATGAAGGGTAGAATTTAAAAACCAAATTGAATAAAAAGAACAATCACCCTCTCGATCGAGGATTCAGTGGATTGCATAAACCCAAGAATCGAGTGAAAAGCACCACCACCGCCACTGGGGTTGGCGAAGGCGTAGTTGAAGTTCGAGTCCGCCGCTCTGGAGGGTTCAACCAAGGGAGCGGAAGTTCCATTAGAGGAAACCACGTTATCAGTGGGCGATGACGCTTTGGCGGATTTAGATTCGGAAGATGAAGAGCTCAAAGAAGCACAAGGATAGGGAAGTCGACGGCCCACTGGGCGGTGGAACCCCAAGGAGACAGCGAATGGAGCCGTGGAGATGGCAGAAAGCGCCATTGGAGAGATGGAGAAAGAGAAATGGGGGCCAGGATATTTATTTGGAAGGCAAACAAATGGGGAATGGAGATATTTTGATTGATCTTCATCATCTTCAACTTGAGAGTTGAAACCGACATTTTTGTGCTTTTTCAGCTTTCTCTCGCTGAGCTCTGAGCCTCTGATGGAACTTGATTTACCGCCACAAATTCTTCCCTCCCTTCTCACTACCCTTTTCTTTTTCTTGATTATTTTCGTCCGTAAACTTTCAATAAAAACTCTAAAAATATTTTCTTTTCCTGATTTAAAATCAGGATCTTTTGGTCGGAAATCACGACGTAGACATTACCCACAGTTAGTGAAATTTCTTAAAAAATTGTAGAGAACTATTTCCTATTTAAATACTTTTTTAAAAATTTCCTAATTAAAGGTTAATTCTCTACAAATATATCTTCATTTAAATGGTTAAATTTCCACCATAAATCTCCATTTTAAATGAAAAGTTCTTAAATTCCATAAGAAATTACAACAACAAATTCTAAAATTTAAATTTTACAATTCAAATTGTCAATAAAAATAAATCTCAAAATTTAAACATCACAGTAAATTTCATATACAAATATTTAGGTTTAGGATCATTTTAAATATGTATATATAATAATGATAATAAATAAATAAATGGGACGAAGGCAGGGAATGGAGATGGAAAACATACTTCTCATCCTCATTCCCGTTTAAGTCACATGGAAATTTCACTCCCTATCCTCGCCCCTTAGGGTGCTTAAATGGAGATTGGGTCTTGTAGAGAAAAGTAACACCCTACTACCAACCTCAATCTATATAGTTATGATATAATGACCAACACACGAACTAGTTTAGCCGTAATGACACCTATCTTTGACTAAGAAGTCATGAAATTCATCACCCTATTTGTTGTACTAAAAATAATGATAATAAATAAATAACTCAACTTTATACGTAGAAAATTAATTTTTTTTCCCTCTAAATAGTTGGGTGAGTTTTTTTCTCTCTTGAATGATAAAATTATGATTTAAATTTCTCATCAACTTTCAAAATATATATTTTAGTTATTAAATTAGAAAAAATAAACATTCTACCATCAATTATTCAACATATATCTAATTTAACATTGATTGGTACTCACTAGAGTCACATAGATTTTATATATTTATTTATTATTTTTTTAGTTCGACATTGAATTATCCACCTTAAGAACAATAATGAATATTTTATCTACTAAATTTTATTCAAATGGACGAAATTGAGTAAAAAAATGAGTACACATTATCAGGTGATACAACAATAATAAAAAGATACAATTTTTTTTAATGAATTCATGTCGATTGAAATAGAAATTTTGAATATTAAAACCTAGAATGAGATCGTATGCCTTTCGGAAGATAATTGAAATAATTCTTTTAACATATGCCTCAATAATTCCATGTCTTTCACATGCTAAGGGTTTTGTTTTACCTTTTGTGGGTGGGACTTGGGAGATGGAATTGATAGCTTGAGGTTCGGCTTTTTTTATGCAACCCATGTGAAGCATGTGTGCAAACAATTATTAGGTTAGCTTATAAAGCTAATATCTAAATTTTGATTAACGTACCTGTTTAGTCCTTTGACTTTAAAATATACTTCTATACTGTCGAATCGAGCATAACTCTTCAGTGATTGACATATACCTCCAACCAAGAGGTTGTGAGTTCGAACCCCCTCCCCAACATGTTATACTAAAAAAAATATATATGTATACTTCTATACTTTCATCATCATTATTAACTAAATGATAATATGATATGGATATATCTATTACACGACTGCGCTAATTTTGTAAAAATATAAGAGAATCATCTTTGTTTATAAGTCCATTGCTAACCTAGACAATATAATTATGCACAAAAGTCAAGATGAGAATCATCTTCTCTCTCAAAATTATCAATCAACGAGCAAGTTCCTAAGTCATGCCTGAGAAAACAAAGGAATTTTTAAAAGACTTTGAATACCATTGATCTGGAAGAGTTTTAATAATTTTAAAAACCCTAAACTTCCGGCCTTTTTGTTATGGTTCTAGCCACCTTGTTCAACACTCTTTATTTAAATATACCTCAATATCTACTTCTGGTATGTTCTTATTTTATATGAGACAAATCAAATTTGACTTCATATGAAGGATCATAAAATGAAATTACGTTGTTCGTCAAGAACAATCTTAACAAGAGCAAGTGCAGCAAGTGTGGTAACGAAACTGATTACAAAAGAGAGTAAAACGACCACTTTAAAGTTGCCTTTTTGGAAGATCTGTTTGAAATCCGAAAATTTCTTGGCAACGTTCGGACACCTATGTCAATGGAGAAAATCCCAGTTCTTCAGTTAGCTTTTCCAGCTCTCTTATTACTCGCCACTGAACTTCTCTGTAACATTAGTGGGAAGTCCGTGGGGTGTCTCGAATCTGATCGAGAAGCTTTGATTTCATTCAAACAGGGCCTTAACGATCCTGACAATCGACTCGCATCATGGAAAGGGGTGAACTGTTGCCAATGGCGCGGGGTGGGGTGTGATAATGCAACTGGAGCTGTTACTGCAATTGATCTTCGTAACCCACACCCTTTGGGCGATCATGGGTTCTGGAATCTTAGTGGAGAGATAAGTCCCTCACTGACAAAACTCAAGTCCTTGAGATATTTGGATTTGAGTTTCAACACATTCAATGATGTCCCAGTTCCTGATTTCTTTGGCTCTCTGAAGAAGTTGCAGTATTTGAACTTATCAAATGCTGGCTTTGGTGATATAATTCCTCCTAGTTTGGGTAACATATCTACCTTGCAATATCTTGATATGAAGAATTTGGATGTAGTAGTTGATAATCTTGAATGGGTTACTGCACTTGTGTCTTTGAAGTATCTTGCAATGAACAGCATAGACCTTTCAACAGTGAGATCAGACTGGCTTAAGATATTGAGCGAGCTTAGAAATTTAACTGAGTTGCATATGAGTTATTGTGGGTTATCTGGTGCTATTTCATCTCCCATGACAGTCAATTTCACTTCTCTTTCTGTCATAGATCTATCTGGAAACAGAATCCATTCTCAAATACCTAATTGGCTTGTGAACATTAGTAGCCTGACCTCCATCAGTATGAGTTACTGTCATTTGTATGGTATAATTCCCCTCGGGCTTGGTGATCTACCGAATTTACGCTTGTTGGACCTATCGGAGAACGGGAATCTCTCGGCGAGTTGCTCTCAGTTATTTCAAAGAGGATGGCATAGGGTGGAAGTACTTATACTAGCTAACAACAGAATTCACGGAAAGCTTCCATCTTCCATGGGAAACATGACTTCTCTTGCTTACTTTGATCTTTTTTTGAATAACGTCGAAGGAGGGATTCCGAGCTCCATCGGTAGACTTTGCGACCTAACCTTTTTCCGGTTAATGGGGAATAACTTGAATGGGAGATTACCTGAGTCTCTTGAAGGAACTGAAAACTGTTATCCTTCATTACGTCCACTGTTTAACCTGGAGTACCTATATTTGTCCCACAACAAATTGGTTGGTGGATTGCCTGAGTGGATAGGTCAACTTGAAAATCTAATTGAACTAAGTTTGGATTATAACTCTCTTCAAGGCCCCATTCTCGCTTTCAGGTCCCTTAAGAAGCTATCTACATTGGGACTAGCAGGAAATGAGCTGAATGGGACTCTCCCTGAGAGTATACGACAGCTTTCTGAGTTGTCTATTTTGGATGTTTCAAACAATCAATTGACGGGTACAATCTCTGAAGCACATTTCTCAAATCTAAGCAAGCTGAAAATCTTACATCTATCGTCAAATTCTTTGAGACTAAACGTCAGTTCCGACTGGGTTCCTCCATTTCAAGTCGGAAATCTCGACATGGGTTCGTGCTACTTGGGTCCTTCATTTCCACTTTGGCTCAAATCACAAAGTAAAGTGCGGTTCTTAGACTTCTCAAATGCCAGCATCTCAGGTCCTATTCCGGACTGGTTTTGGAAAATTTCAGGGAATCTAGCTCTTCTAAACTTCTCTTGCAACCAGTTAGAGGGACGACTACCTAATCCGCTAAAAGTAGCTCCCTTTGCAGATGTTGATTTAAGCTCCAATCTCCTTGAAGGACCTATTCCCCTTTCAATCTCTGAGATTGTTTCGCTGGAACTTTCAAATAACACATTCTCAGGTCCTATACCGAAGAATATAGGCATGACGATGCCGAACCTTATATTTTTGTCTCTAGCCAATAACCGAATAACAGGTGAAATACCAGACACTATAGGGGAACTGGAAATTCTTCAAGTCATTAATCTATCAGGGAATAACTTGACTGGTGAAATTCCTTCAACTATTGGGAATTGTTCGTTGTTGAAGGCAATCGACCTCGAAAATAATTATTTAGTAGGTCAAATTCCAGACACATTGGGTCAGTTAGATCAGCTTCAGACTCTTCATCTAAATGAAAATAGGCTCACTGGAAAGCTCCCACCATCTTTCCAAAATCTCTCAAGTTTGGAAACTCTAAATCTTGGGAATAATGGTCTTGTGGGTAGTATTCCTCCTTGGATTGGAACTAGTTTTCCAAATATCAGAATTCTTAGCTTGAGGTCAAATGCATTTTCTGGAGCAATTCCTGCACTTTCGAATCTAGGCTCATTGCAAGTCTTGGACCTGGCACAAAATAAGTTGAATGGCTCCATTTCGATTGGTTTTGGCAATCTCAAAGCTATGATCCAACCCCAGAAAACAAACCACTATCTATTCTATGGGAAGTACAGAGGCATCTACTACAAAGAAAATTATGTCTTGAATACAAAAAGCAAATTATTGAGATACACTAAGACCCTTTCCCTGGTAACTAGCATTGATCTCTCCAGAAACGAACTATATGGAGATTTTCCCCATGATATAACAGAGTTAGCTGGGTTAATTATCTTGAACTTGTCTACAAACCATATAAGTGGTCAGATTCCAGATAACATTTCAAACCTGATAGAATTATCATCTCTCGATCTCTCAAACAACAGACTATCTGGTCCCATTCCTCCAAGCTCAACTAAATTGACATCATTGAGTTATTTGAATTTGTCAAACAATAACTTGTCAGGAAAGATACCTGTTGGAGCTCAATTTGAAACTTTTCCTGTTTCATCTTTTGCTGGAAATCTCGGTCTCTGTGGAGACCCTCTTCCTGTAATGTGTCAAGACACTGAAAGAAGAGCAGATGGAGGGGGGAGAAAAGAAGATGAAAGCAAAAATGAAGTGATTGATAATTGGTTTTACCTGAGTCTTGGGGTTGGATTTGCAGCTGGGCTGTTAATTCCTTTCTGCATTTTTGCAGCCAAAAGATCTTGGTCGAATGCTTATTTCCAGTTGGTCGACAAAGTTGTGGACAAGGTTTCTCCATCTTGACGTGGAAGAACTATAGACTCTTAATGTAGGAATAATTGAACTACAAAAATTTCTTCTCCTTTTTGTTTTTGTGTAAGAAACAATTTCATTGATGTATGAAATTACAAAAGCCTCAAATTGAGGGATTACATAAAGCACTCCCAATTTGCTAAGAGGGAAGTGTAGCAATAGTAATGAAACATAGGGTAGGATTTACACCAAGTAATGACTGTGAATACTATAGCTTCAAAAAAGATATCAAAGGGGAGAGTTTTGTCTGTGAAGATACGTGGATTTCGTTCTCTCCAAAGGTTCCAAAGAAAAGCTCTCATGAAGTTTTGCCAAAGAATTGCCTTTTCCTTTTTGAAGGGGTGTCCTGTAAGGGTAACTTCGAGAAGGAGGGGAGGATTTAAATTTCTTCTCCTTGATTTCTTTTTTTCTTCTCCCCTTTTTCTTCGTCACTTAATGTTGTGATTTAGTATAATGGATTTAAATTTCATTACTCTAGTTACACCAGTCTTTCGTCTTCTCATACAGCATGTTCGAATCAATTTCATTTCTTTCTTAGATTTCCATCCTTCAGTACAAAAATTTCATTCCAAAGGTTATAAATCAATATTTTGCAAAATCTAAACTATGCTATATGCAACATTAGACTAAAAAAATTGTTCTTGGCAGAATCCAGAAGCTCAGAAAACAAGACAGATCCTCAGCAAAACTCAATTAAAATAACTGATATGGTTGCCGTGATACAATTTGGGTTTCTTTGGTTCAATCTTTGCATAGAAAAGAAAATGTGCTACACATATAACAAATAGATACCAATTCTAGAATATAAGTTAATATCTATTACTAGAGTCAAAAGATATAATAAGCAATGGAAATTACGAATACTGGTGGACATGTTCTCTAAACTGTAAGAATATAATAAACCAGCCAAGATAGAATAGCATATCAGGTCATGTACTGCATATTCTCCAGACAGTATCTGCAGCAATCATCCAAAGCAGAGTGAGCCAATGGTTTGAGACCGAACCCCAAAGCCTGCCAAAAACATCAGCAGCCATAGCAGAACCATAATGTAAGTGCAAAATCCAACCTGCATGACTGATTCTGCTACCCATTCTTTTGGGTTGTCTTAATCACTCAACATGTATGCCTTTTTGCAGTGCGATTGTGATGCATGCATCCGTTGACACGTTTTAAGACTTCCACATAATTGAATTGGCGCCCTCAGTTACTCTTAGCCCATCCATAGCTTTAGTACTTTATCCTTGCCTCCAGAAGCCACCTTCTCACCATCCGGACTCCAATCAACAGCAAAAACCTGCACAACATGAAATCAATTAAGAATATGGTGACAAGAGGCATGCATAAAAGAAGCCATGATGGGTCTTACAGATGGATGGAACTGTACCTCATCGGCATGGCCTGGAAGGTCCTCTTTTAACTTGTGTGTTCTGATATCCCAAATCTGAAAAAATAGAAATCAACATTTAGCTTTGAGTCACTTAAAGAAAACTCCATGAAACAGCCACAACTGTGGAAAAATGTACCAAATGCACTTGTAAAGCCACTAGTCCGTCCAGACACAATTTCAACCATTTGGTTCATTCACATTTTTCAATTGCCTCTAAACAATACATGCATCATGCAGCAACTCCACTCAAAGCATTCATTTCTTTGAAACTCTAGAAGAATTAGGTTAAACAAAAACATCCAAATACCTTCAGGGTGGAGTCTTTGCTGCCGCTTAAAAGAAGCCTACTATCAGCAGACCAACTGCAAGGGAAGAGATAGTAAGTAAATTACTGAATGACTGAATCACAGAAATTAAATGAAACAAACCTGATTTGATAAACAGGCCCAACATGACCCCGGAAAGCAGCAACAAATTTTCCCGTAATGCCATTCCACAGTTTCACAGACTTATCAAAGGATGCACTGGCCACCCATTGCCCATCGGGTGAGAAATAAACATGATTCACAAGCTGAAAGTAAACAATAATTCATGCTTCACTTCTGAAGAATGAGGAAAACTCCAAAATGGCATAATACACAAGCTTTTTAAATGTTATACTCATAGTCTCATATAAGCATATCATCTATCAGTATCAATATTGAAGAACATGGATGAATATTTAATGGACATGTTAATTAGAGTATTCTCCGGATATTTGTGACTTTTTTCCTATCCCTTTTGAACTTCTCTTGTAGATATTTTCCCTCAAATGCAGAGCCCAGAGGAGACCTTATAATTTCATACTGTTAAAATTTTACGATGAGCTTAGCTGAGGATTCAAGCAAATCAATGATGGAATGTGTAAAATACTTTTCAGCTTGACTGGTCTGATCAAGGGACTTGGTAGATTACAAAAAATAGATCAAACCTATTTCATGGATTGAGAACTAGCACAAGTGACAGTATCAAAATGATAGTGTTGCATGAAGACTTCTCCAGAGGCATGTAGTTAACAAAAGCTTTAGGAAATATGGTACATGGTGAAGTGAGGATGATAGAGAGCAGGACAATGACGAATGCCACGAAGGGATGCATGAACCATGATATTCCAGGAAGAAAAGGATATCGAAAAAGAAACTTACTTGTTGATGACCTGTCATGCGGGTTTTAGGGTGCTTGCTGACTGCAGGTTCCCATAGAAACATGGTAAAATCATCAGATCCTGAAACCAATCTTTCAGGGGCATTGCCTTTCATCTTATTATACCTTTCCAGAGCAACCTACAAATCATGGAACAGCAAAGTACTTGGTGATGAAGAAAGTTAGATGATTGGAGACTTGTGGCGGCCCAAAAAAAGAGTGGGTGTTCCAACCTTTCAGGTGAGCTAAACTAAACATGTTATGTTAACAATTTCTTTGATTTCCATGTAACAGAAACCAACACGTGCATACAAAATAATGTGTTTATACAATCATTTCCACACGAAGTATGGATGAAGTATGCTAGAAATACGATTGAGAACCCTCAAAACTATGTTACCTTCTTCATTTCCTCCGGGGAAGAGAATTGTTTCCCTGTATGATCAAAAGCACCCGTGCGGAGGACATATTCAGTGCTTAGTGCAAGAGAGTTAACCCAATGACCATGTCCCTGATACAATATCATATTTACAAATGATTACACTATGAGCAACAATGGGACTAGGACTATGAAAAACAAAATAAGTCCAACCCAAATCAACTTCTGAAGAGAACTGTTAAAAAATAGAGATGACTTATCAGTAATTCAATACCAAAAGAAAATACAATTTAAGAAAAGTTAAATCTCTTCTGTAATTATCAGCTCTTTTGAGATTTTTTTTTATAAGAAACAAAATGCATTGAAACAAAGGAGAGAATACAAACAAAGGGCAGGGGCCGAGGAGCACCCGCCCCCCAATAATCGAATTCAATAAGTAATATGATCCCAAAAGGAATAAATAGGTTCTAATGTTTTTTAAACCAAAAAAAAATTTAATTCATAGTACAGATCGGGGGTATGCAGCATACCTTTAATTCACGAATTAGTTTTCCTTGCTTAGTTTCCCAAACCTTGATGGTACAATCCTGAGAGCTGGAGCATTTGAGAGAGAACGTGTCAATTTCACAGCAGAGGAAAGATTGGGAGCAACAATAACAATCTTAAGAAAAAATTAAAAAGTAGCTTAATGCCGAAAGCAGATAATTTTCGAATATTGATAGCATATAAGTATAGAATGGTAAGGCACTTTTAGAGACTGAAAGAAAAGCAGAACTTTTGGTCTTTAGTATCATAATTTTACTCCATTGTCAGTTATCAACTGACTCTGGGCATGGATAGATATGGGAAGATTCCATTCATTATTGGATATAAGACAGTATATAGATCCAACTGAAGTACACTGTACTGTAGACCCACCTCCTCTAGATGTTCAAACTTAATACTAGCATCAAGCATGCTAGAATACTTCTATAGTGGCTCCTCTGTCTCTCTCTCTCATTTTCTTTTCATTTTATTTTTTGAAGTCAAGGAGACAAATAAGGAACATAATCATACCCTGTATATATAACTCCATCTCCGCCCCATTTGACACAAGTTATTGCAAGAGTATGGCCACTGAGACATATAACACATTTCTTCAATGAAACATCCCATATGCGTGCATCACCATCTTTGCTAGAACTCACAAAACGGCGACATGGGGCACTTAGATGCAAAGGTTCCCATGAAATACCAGTAATCCATTTTTTGTGGCCCTATAACATTAGTTTCAAAAATTAGTGTTAGCAATTTCACACTGGTAAGCCTATAAAAATACAAATAATTTTTATTTAATCATTGTTTAGGTATTATAGGTAATGAAAATTGTCATAAAGATGTAACTTTTGTCCTTATCAGTGAGTATCGTTCCAATTTTAGCAAACGTCCCTTATCAATGAGTAAATATAATCAGTCTTCTAAATATAATTTACGATAGAGCTTATACAATATGTTTTGCTAACAACCAAAAATATTTTTACACGGACACAACGACAAATCAATTTCCAAAACAAATAGGACACGTTAATTTTTTTTTATAAGAAACTACGCTTTCATTGAGAAAAATGAAAAAAGGTACAAGAAGTACAAAGAGGGCAAAAAGATAGTTCTGAAGAAGGAAGCCCCCTGAATAAAAGGGCTCCAAAATGCAAAAGAATGAATCCTAATGGATAATTACAAATAGGACACGTTAATTTTATATATATTTAATTTTTATTTTATATATATAAAAGACATTTCACTTAACAAAACAACTTTTTTATCCCTCCCAATGTGCCCCTTCCTCCCAATTAAAAAAATTGGGCCAGCAGAAACCCATTTCCGAATTTAGAAAAACAACATTTTTATCTTCCCAATGTGCCCCCTCCCACGTCTAGTCCTAATTTTTATCCTCTCCCATAATAAAGAAAACCTAATTTTCATATCCCAATGTTGCCCTCTCTTCTTCCCACTTAATAATCCAAGTCTTAGTTTTTATCCATTTCTTCAAAATAATGTCACCGCTTCCTTCTTCTCACCTGCTCTATCCTCCTTTGTTCTTAACTGTGCCACTGAGATGAACCACAGAGAAGAATGAAGGAGAAAACGGCAAAGAAAAATCAAAATAAAAAACAAGGGAGAAACGCCTGAAAAACAAAGGAAAAGCAGAAGAAAAGGTTAAAATGGGAGTGAAACCTAATGGGTTGGGCCTTAAGGCTGGTAGGCTGAAAGAAAGGTAAAAAATCTGAAAATCAAAGTCATTCAATGGACTTGGCAACTAGTGTGTCCTCTGCATGCCGCGCACATGGCCATTAATAAAAAAGAAATTCGGACACTTATTTTAGCTCATGAATAGGTGTCAGACACTGACACTCCTTTAAAATTAACATGTATGCGCTTCCTAGGAAAATGATATGCAGCAAGCAAATGGGTCCAAATTTTGAAACTACATATGTCCTACAACGTTTTTTCATATTCACAAGGGGGTCCAAGTCAGCTTTGTGAACTCCTTTAATTTCATAGGACAACTATCAAACCTTAAAACGGTTGGTTGCAAAGAAAACTCATAAGATATTCCCTCCTAGCCCTTCTACATTTTCAACTGTCCTAATAACCACTAAGTCACCCATGGTGGTTCACATGTCCTACAACTTACAAGTTACAAAACATTAAAAAAAAATGCAAGTACGAACAAATGAATAATATTTAACATCCACACAATCACTAAACTCATGCAGTTCAGAACTAACAGTCCTACCACAAAATCTATGTTGCTCCAAGAAAAAGTGATTGCAACTTTATATTATTTTTAACTTCAGATGGAATATTTGAAACAAAATAAGGTAACTAGGATTGCACAAACAAGTCCTAAAATATATAAAAAGATTAAATTTAATTTTGAAAAATTATAAATAAAAGGGCCGGCCCCTGCAAAGCAAACATCAATCTACGGTGGTTAGGACAGGGCAATGCAATTTTTTCTCAAAATTCTACTTCAAAAACTTGAAAGAACCATTGCTGAAAGAAAGAAAAACATATCAAAATTCAGAATAATATTATTTCAAAAGCCATAAATTTATACTTAGAAATCAGATTTTCATTTGACTGGTTTTGACACTTGACTGGGTAAAATACAGTAATCAAACTTAACAAACATGTCAAAAATATGGTCACACTGGGGGAAAGTCTTTACAGTGAGCGGATTTCCCAATGGTTTTCCCGTCTGTGGATCCCAGCAATAAAGTTCACCAGCTTTGCTCCCACTTACTAGATGCTTCCCATCCGGTGACCAGGCAATAGAAAGAACCCAATTTTTATGCCCTGAGAATAGAGAGCAAAACCTTCTGATTTTAGCCTGATATACAAACTATAGATATCAATAAATAACAGAGCATATTAAAATGCTCCCTAGTTAAAGCAGCGACCAAAAAAATACAAAAACACAGCATTTTTTCAAACCTTGGGCAGTACCATAATAGACTCCCAACCTAATCAACCATTATGAAACACAGGAAGTAAACATCTTTATCCTCTAGGGATGACAAATATATTCATTTCAGATAACTTGAAGTTAAAATTATTCAGTTTTCCTGCCATCTATTCATCAGAAACAAAATCAATGGCCAACATAGTATACATGATGAACAAAGGTTCTTATAAAATTTAATTTTTGGATCTAGTATTTTGAACAGTTGCAAAATTCAGTTGAAAAAGTTCAGCTCATGTTTCTAACCTGTACATGTGAATAGTGGTGTCTGCGTATTAAGGTCCCATAGCCGAACTGTAGTGTCACCTGAACCACTTGCCAACTGTCGCCCATCAGGGCTAAATGAAACAGAAAGAACGGCTTCAGCGTGACCTGCAATACAAGTGCAATGGATTGATTAAAACTTTACAGGGATAAGCAAATATAACTAAAAAAAGAATGAAATAAAAATGTACCAGAAATTGTTGCTGAACACCGACTAACAGGACGTATGCGGAATACTGCTTGTGGCTGATAAACTACATTCAGCACCTTCTCAACAGAAACTGCAAATACGTTCAAAAGATGATACTAAGCCTCGTGAACCAGAAAATTTATTTTTACCACCATGTGAACAGCTTTTTCAAACATTATTTGAGGAATCAATAACCTTTGTTTTTCTCTAAGTATGCACCAAGCGAAACAAGAAGCTCCTGGTCAGATATGTAAAAAGCATAGGGAAGCTTCTCCTCCTACAATCCCAAAACAAACTGTTATTTTGATATGACCGCCCTACCAAGACCATGCCATGCCATACACCAATTTGCATAACTAGTTCATTGTTTCTCAAACTAAAACATTTCGGAGGCCTAAACCAACGCAGGAACTGCATTAATCGTGAAAGAATAGTGAAGATAGAAAACAGTAACATAAAAAGTGCTCGGAAAATACTTCATCATAGGAATTAGTAACAGACTTGATATAAAAATGACACTCACACGCTTGATGATTAATAGAATGCTGAATTTTCAAGCTAATAAAATACTTAGAACAGATGTGCAACTAGTTTCGTTTGGAAATAAGAAAAGGTTAATAATTACTCATTAGCAACCTCCAAATTACATCATTCATGAGCCAATCAAAATTCTCAGAGAAACTCAGCTAATTCGAATTCAATTAAACACTTCATCTCCACGATCAAAGATGCATATTTTTAAGAACAAAAAGTTACTTTTCCCCGGAACTTAAATGTTGACAGGCTTATAGGGACGGGGAGGAAAACGCTACTTTTCCAGAAACTTACATTGTTGAGAAGTTTATTGACCATTTGCTGAAGCTGCTGAGGCCCTGCATTTTGGGGAAGATACATGGGAGCTCCCAAAGGCGTGCCTTCCGGGTCCGTCAAGAGAATCATGACATTGTTGATAGTTTCCCTCTGCTCTACATCCATCTCCGACGCCATGGGTAAATTGATTTCAAGAAACTGCAAAATTCAGGAACCGAAAAGTAGGGGAAATTGAGTTCAATTGGAAGAGACGAATTTGAGGGTTTTGTGGGTTTAGGGTTTTCCGGCGGGTTTTTTATTTTATACCTCTGCTCGGAGTCCGAATATCTCTCTATTGAATTTGTTCATTTGTTATCGGCATCGGCCACTTATATTTTGCCACGTCACCACCAAATGCGAATGAAATATACCATAGATGTTCCTTATCGGTTAATATATAATTTTAATTTCTACTTTTTTTAAATTGAAACCGGTTAACATTACTTTCACTCTGGTATTTATTTGCTTTACTATCTATTTTTTAAAAACGTTTTCAAAATTTGGCTTAATTATGGAAAAAATAAACACACTTTTCACATACTTGTTTGAGTTTTTTAATTTTGGTTAAGAATGCAATTCTGCAAATGTTTTTTTTATGTGAAATGTATTAAAATTTTGTAAATAAAACGAAATGGTTATCCAATTAAATTTTTGGATTTCATTCAAGTATATAACAAAAATCTCTATAATGGTTAGAAATTGTTTAAATTTTATAATAAAAAGTGGTTGTATTGTTAAATTATTATCTCGTTAACCATTACTCTTTTTTCTTTTAATTTTAAGAATGATAGAGATTCGAATATCCGACATTTTTTTTAAATGTCTTAATGAATTACATTGCTAAATTTACAAAATTAAATTATATCATCATAGCTGCTTTCAGCATGTGAGTTCAATTCTAACAACTTTAAAAGATTTGTCACAACAATTTCAAATGTTTAATTTTGACCACGTATATACTTCAATAATTTAATTGCAACAATCGTTTTATTTTTCTAGTTGAAAATTGTAACAAATTTATTTTTTAAGTTCAAGAGTGGTTCGTGGACTTTTCAAATGCATATATGAAGTATTCATACTTCAATTCTCAAGATATAAATTTGACTACATTTTATTAAAATGGTTTTTGCATTTCTCTTGCTATGATATTCTAAGAAAAAAAATAGCACTTTTTCAACAATTTCAATCATAAACATGACCACAATTTGCAAAATATTTTGTGAGCCATTTTGTATGACCTATTATTTGTTCAACTTAACTACAAAATCACCATAGATAGTAAATTCTAATAAATTGATCAATTACCAACTCTTTAATAAACACTCATTTATCATCGTCTCTTTTTCAATTAAAGAAAAAAACATAACAACATTTGATAATTATTTATTGTTAATTATTCTTTATATTTTTATTAGAAAAAGATATAGAAACATGTGGTGACAATTTTTGTTATTGTTTCCATTTTTATTTTTCAAAATACACAAACAAATATTGTTTTATCGTTTTTATTTTTAAATGCATAACAAATACAAGAAAAATAATTATCAAATAAAAAAGAAAAAACCTGATTTTGTTATTTCTAAAATGTCTACACAGTTTTAGAAACACTTTTAAAAAATGAGAACCCAAAGACATGACCAATTATTAAATGTTTATATTTCTCAAAAATTGAAAACGAGAAATGAGAACATTATCAAACGAGTCATAATATTTATGTTAATTGTTTATTTATTATTATTATTATTTTAATGCAACATGGTGGGGAGGGCTTATTGATTTTAGTTTTGGACTATATTTTGTAACCATTTATTATTTGTCAAACCGGCATAGCTCAAGTGGTTAAGGCACTGATCAAAATGTCATGAGTTCAAACCTCCACCCCCACATATTCTATTTAAAAGAAGAAAAAAAAAAAGTAACCATTTATTATTTATTACTCTCTAAAATTTTAAACGAAAAAATAAAAATTTTGTAAGGAAGAGAAAATTATAACAAAAAACAAAAAAGTTGATTTTTCTTACTCTAAAATTGATATAAAACAAGAAGTAGTTACGTGAATTATACAAAAATTTGAAAACAGAAAAAACAAAAAAACGAAAAACGAAAACATCAAGGAAGGAAACTTTAATTGCTTTTTCCTCTCTATCGTCTGTGATTGGGAGAACAAAGATATCCCATATTGAAAAGGTCAATTTGACTTTAATAATTTATATTGTTATTCTTTTTTAATACAACTATTGTTATTTGTTATTATGTTTTTCTCTCTCATATTTAATTCCATTATTAAAACTGTACGAAAAGTACCATTGTTAAAATTCATGAAGAGGTTTTTTATTCAAGGAACAATTTTATAGATTCAATTATGATGGTAGGTCGAGATATTAGGAATAGAAATATTAGGCATTAGATAATCATTCATTTTTCTCAAAATTTTGGAGACAACCAAATCAAATTTTATGTTTTTTTTTAAATTTTATTTTAGGTTAAAATACTATTTTGGTCTTTATACTTTCAACTTCGGTTTATTTTTATCTTTATACTTTCAATTATAGTTCATTTTAGTCCATGTACTTTTAAAATATTCATTTTGATCCCCGTATTTTTAAAAGGTGACCATTTTGATCCTCATCTGCAAAATCTCAACACAAATTCTAAACGTAATCGAAAACCATTTGATGTAAAGTCATAGTTACATTTGAAGTATGTTGAATGTAATATCATGTTGAAATTGTGATAGGAAAATGAGGTTAAAATAAAATTAAGGAGCCAAAAGATCACTTTTCAAAAGCCCAGGTATCAAAACAAACATTTTGAAAAATACAAGGACTAAAATGACCAAAGTTAAAATGACAAAGGACCAAAATGAATAAACCCTAAATGAATAAGGACCAAAATAATATTTTAACTAGTATTTTACCATTTTTTATTTATAAACTGCATAATAAAGTTAAGAAATAAATATAAAATAAATATTTTAAATATTTAATTTGAAGTTTTCACATCAAACATCCACTTCTTATAATTCAAAATTTTAGAGAGCAAGAAAAAAAAGAAATGACCAAATATGTTTCTATTTTTCTTTTTTTGAAAATAACAAATAGCTACCCAACACAATGTTGTTCTCTTTTTAGATTGAAAAAAAGAAAACCAAAACTAGAAACCAAAACCATGAAACCAAAAATAAGAAATAGAAACATTACTAAACGGACCCAAATTGTCCAAAAGAACGAACATCCCACAAAAGGCCATAGAGATATTCATGATAAGCCAGAATGGCTCAGCCTAACCTAGGAACCAAGATAACCCCACTTGAAACTAATTCCAAAAAAAGCACCAACAACAAGAAAGTAAACACAAAAAAAGAATAAAAACCCTAGAATGGAATTAAGCCAAAAACATATTCTTCAGGATGACTGCAACAGACCCCACAACTGTAGTAGCAGCAAATAAGATACTTCACTGTGCACTGTCTTTCAAATCATTCACTGGCTGAAAGTGGCTTCCGGGCCAAGAAAAAATACAATGGTGTAAATATCTCTTTCCTGACAACATTACGAAACATCGTATCAGTATGATCCTCGAACTTCTAGAACGGCATCTATTTAGTCTAAAATGTTTCTAATTGGTTCTAATGTCTGTTTAGTCATTAGGATAATGTCCCAGATGCTAATTTGTTTAACACTTACACGCCACGTCAATGGTACATTTTTTAATGAATAGGTCATTTCGAGCGTAGCAGAGTTAGTGTGCTACGACGTTATGACCTTGAGGACATTTGGAAGTAACATATCTACCAGAACAGATTTCCTCATTCAATCAATACTCATCCCTCTCCCACTTGTTTTCTCCAAAGAATGTTACTCTTACTATTAAAATTAGATGGATGGATGGACGGACCAAGATCTATCATGGTGCCAACGAAATTACATTCCAAAATCATTGTCATTTTCAGGGGCAGAAAGAAGGAATGGGGGCAAAAAATAAAACGATATTAAAAACTTGAGATTCTAAAGTTTCCTCTCATTTTTCACCTTAATTTTCAGAATTGAAATACTATATATGTGAAAGGTTTGGAAGGTAAAGATTTGCCCCTCTCTATGAAAATTTGACTCTGCCCCTAGTCATTTCGGGAGGGCTCCCAAAAAAACATTTATCACCATTAGTGGATCTAATGTAACATGAATGGAGTAATGGACATTCAAAAGGAAAAAAACGGGGCCAAATTCAAGAATATTGTAAGGTATACTCACTTTCCACCTTCAACTAGCCCTTCAGCTGCTTTCTCTAGAAAGTCTTGAACTCTCTGGCTACCCTTTGGGGCGAGTCGAATGAACTCCAATGCTTTAACCTACAAAAAGAAAAAGGACTTGATGTTTTATTAACGGCAAATGTCTCTCATATGTGAGGTAAAATTGTTCTTAGGCACTTGTTAATTTCATCCTGAATGTCTCTCATATATGAGGTAAAATTGTAAGGTTCTCCTTGATGTTTTATTGTTAAGAAAAAGGACTTGTCAAGGTCGCAGATCTCGTTGAGCTTACCATATTTTTAGTAATGAAACGTCCAATGGCTGTTAGACGGAAGCTACTCAGTGAGAAATGGCTTTTGTCTAAAGGTAAGTACCAAGGAAGAGGTGAATTCACAGCGAGATCTTTCTCCCAGATAACCTGGCATCATGTACTCGTTAATATGAGATCATTGCTTTAAACCACATAATATGTACATGACAGGTATCTTTGCAATTTAAATTAGAAAAAAGAAAAAAAGGAAAATAACAAGAGAAAGCCAATTTGAGAGGACTTGAACTCTCCACATTTGAACAACTTAGTCCCCGCGTTTTCTGCCACTCTTTCTCACATAAACCTGATTAATCAGGGGTCTAACAGTATGATGCCTCTCACCCATTCATGAAAATGGAAAATATTTCATAAGTTTTTTTTTCCAACGAACCTCAAAACCTGCTTGTTTTAAGGCTTCAATGCACTTTCCTGTCGACCTGATATCCGGAAGACCATCACCAATCTCAATTTCTGCCTACACAATTGGACTTGGTCAATGCAATCCATATAGGATCAATCAGTGGTAAAGTCAAAGAATCTGCAAGATAGAAGGGACAATGCCGGATTACCTTTATCTTTTGATGCTCTTGGTTATTTGGATCAAAAGAATCGGTCATGCACCATTCATAAGCAGCAAAATGTTGGCCAGGCTTTAGTACTCTGTAAATTTCCTTGTAGCACCCATACTGCCACACAAAAACAAAGTCAAGCGAATGTCTATAAAACACATACATACATCTCAATGCTGGACCATACTCATGGTAGACAAATAATGACCGATGTAAACTCAAATTAAGACTTCAGGATGTACTAAAGACCTACAGCATCTGGTGCGTGACAAGTAGCTTCAATTGCATATACTGCGTCAAATGAATTATCGGGAAATGGCATTTTCATGAAGTCAGCCTGCAGCAAGAAAGTGAATAAAATATCAACCTCTTCGTTTTTATAGATATTCAGGTTTGTACGGTAACCCCACTTTGAGTATGGAATGAACTTTGTTGGTTGAGTGGAGTTACGGTAGACAAATCTATAAAGGAAGGACAATCGATCAAAATTAAACTCTTGTAGACTTCCACCCTCTTCTAAACAAATTCACAATGAAATTAAAATCGTTAGCAAACAACTTTTTGAAAGAGTAAATTCAGTCTACAAAGAGCCAACCTTGACAAAATCACAGGTATTGTGCACTTTTGCAACACGATTCAGCTCCTGACAAAGTAAGAGAAACTTATGATAAATCTATGGGTTAAATAAGAGGAAAAGTACAACTACCTTGTCACAATAAGTCGATCATAACAAATCATTATGATAGCAGAATAGTGAAAAAGGAAAATCAACAAAATCTTACGATGATCAGTAAGACATTTCTAAGAAACAATGTTCCCGACATCCTTCAGAAGAGGACTAGATGAGAAAATTACCTTTCCTCTTGAAATCTGGTACTCATTGTTGTTCAATCCAGTGACTGAAGTAGAACTGTAACAGAGTGACGTAGAATATGAGATACTAAGAGCTATGAACATAAAGATAAAACAAAAAGAGCAAAACTTAAATACTCAATCCAGCACCAAAGTGTTCAGACTGTAAAACTTATAAACTTAATTTAGTTAGAATTATTTATAATTCCAATTCAGGGCAGGTTGCATGATATTTATTTTAGTATCAATCATCAATCATAGGAAAAAAAACTCAAAGTTGGTTTAGCTATGCATCACACCTAAATCTCGCAATTTCTCTCAGTGGTCCACCGATACCACATCCAACATCCAACACCTAGAACATATACAAAGTTATCATTCATTATTTGAAATGAATGAAGTAAGTTTCTCCATCTCTGTATGGACCAAGACAAACCTTCTGTCCAGGTTTCAAACCTAATTGTAAAGCAAGGAAGTGCTCGTGCCTCTTTATGCTCTCCCGCAGAGACTCGCCATTCCATCTATAGCGGAAAATAAGCATGTTTAGATTTGAGATTGTGAAAACAGACACACATTCTGGTCTACTGAATGAAGAAGGAAGATAATAGGTCATACCTAGGTGCAAAATGGAAAGACTCTCCCCAGCCGAACTCGTAAAAGCTCGTAACAAGATCATAGTATTTATTAACCTAAGAAGATACATGATAAGTCTAAAACCAAAACCAAAATGGCAAAGAAAACATGAAAATGAACAAGGGTGTGATTCTACTATATGAGAGAAGGCAATCTTCTCTTACCATGTCAGAGTAGTTGGCTTTTCTCTCCTCCTCTTCACCCCCATAACAAACATGGTACTTCTCATACCTGATTCAACAATGTAAAACTAACACAATGAAGTTATGACAACAAAGATATAGCAGACTACCATGAAAATGAAAAAGAAAAAATCAAGCCATTCATCCAATTCATGAAATCCTGCATAGTTCTCTTTTCCCACCGTGGACTACGTTTCATAACGAACAACATTGCACAGTACACAATCCTAGAATTCCATGTTTCGTTCAAATCATCTACATCTAAAATTAATGAAACAGATCAAGGCCCCATATCCCGATTACACAAAAAAAAAAAAAAAATACAGAACATGCAGTAGCTCAGGCGTAGAATTCGAAGACAGATGACACTATAAGAATGAGCTAGTTGGTTTGGCTTGAAATAATAGGGGAAAACAGTTGGGGAGGAACTCGAACCCCCATTAACAGACCATCTTAGCTCGAGAAAAAGAAACTTGTGGGTACAGAGAGAGAAAAGGAATGTTTACTTTTCAACCGCGGAAAGGACCTCGCCCTTGTCCAACTTGCCGCCGAGGCCCGATGCAAGATCCAACGCTCCAGCTTTCGACATGGCGGGCGGCTCGGAAAACAATCAGTCTTGGAGATCTAAAAGAACAAATTATGAAAAAAGAAGAAACGGAATCAGAATCAGAATCATAATCGAGAACTTTGGCTGTGCATTGTGTTGTTGAAACTCGAGAGAATCTGGGTCTTGAAGAACATTACGTCAAAAGCCGACGATCTGAGAGATGGCAGAGGATGAAGACGTTAGTGAAAAACGAGAAGTAAATAATGAAAATCCGAAAGGAATCTTCACAGAACAATCAATGCCGGACGAACAAAAAAAACCCAAAAAGAAAAAAAAGAAAAATCTGGCATAAGTAAGAATCTTTTTCCTCACTTCTGGTCAGGAACAGCGCATACTCCACGTTTGAGCGAAATTTAACCTTTCTTCGACGCAAGCAGGTTTTAAATATCTACATCATCCTCTATAGAATTGTCGATATCTCAATTTTATTAAAATATCTATAAAATTATCGATAAAACATCGATGTTAAATATCTTTTCAAAAATTAGAAAAATAGTCATACCTTAGTGATAAATAATTGACATATATCTCCCATCACAATCCTAAATTCAATCTCTCATTCCACTTGTTATATTAAAAAAATTTAAATTAACACAAAATGTTTCATATTTTGAAACAAGTTAAAAATAATTAATATATTAATATCACGTTTATATCAATGAGATTTTGTTAATATATTTTTTTTTATATTTTGTCAATTTTTTATTTCTAATATTATGGAAATGTCGATTTATTTTTTAGGTTGATGTCGAACTCATAGATACATAAAAATGTCAATGAAAATGTCAAATATGTCGATAAATATTTAACACTAAATGTGTTTATGGAGAATAAATATAATAAATTAGTTTAAATATTAGGGTCTCCTGGCCTAGGTCATTGCTTAATATTGAGAATTTTTTTTTTTTGGCTAAGGTAATATTGAAAATATTAAGAAAGGGTCCCGTATTTATGTCTCACCCTTTTACGGTAAAAGTTAATATTTAAAAAGGGACATGGTGAACTGGATTATCATGTTGCCGCGTATTTGAAAATACAAGTTTTTTTAATGAAACAATAAATTATTGTAAATTTAAATAAAACACATCAAATAATTTTACCAAATAGTATCATGAAATTCTAATAATATACCAAAGATGCATAGCAACAATCGACTTCAATGATTTTAAATTTTACAAACAGTAAGTTCTGACGATAAGTAAACTCATTTTTAGAAACTAATAGATAAAAAATTAAATTAATGTAAGCAGGTTTCTGTAAGGATAGAAATGTCAAGGTTTTGGAAGGTCTATAAAAATATCGATAAAATATTGATGTTAGATAGATATTTTTGAAAGAGCTATAAAAAAAATTTTGGTAAAAAATATTTAAATTAACAAATAAGTATTTCATCCTTTCAATATAAGTTAAAAATAATTAATAGAAAAAAAAAAACACTTTTGGTCCTGAGGTTTGGATGCGATGTTAATTTGGTCTAGAGTTTCTAAATGAATACTTTTGATCCCTTAGATTTGAAGTAGATATCAATTTGATCTTTCAAATTACACACTTCTAATCTCTAAAGTCTGAGAATTGATTCTAAACGGTCGTATTCTTCAACCCTTGGTTGTCTGACAATTAATAGGTGATTTTGGAAATTTCTAAATTACTTTTTTTTTAATGATTTGTAAATAAAATATTAATTTTTACATAATTATGTTACGTGAGCTGGCATTTTGAAATTTATTTTATTGTCTCTTCATCTTCTTGCTACCATCACGCCCACCTTGCCGTTGTCGTTGTCATCCCCCGCCTCGCCGCCCACCACAGTGCTGCCGTTTCCCATCGTTGATGTTACTACTCACGGGAGAGAGGGAAAGCTCCTCCATCTCTCCCTCGCTCCAGATCGAGAGAGGGAAACTCTTCCTTCTTTTCAGTGGACGTCGACGACAGACGACGATAGGTGACGATGGTCAACGATACTGACAGTGGACGGCAGTCAGAAGATGAAGAGATAATAGAGAAGAAATAAAAAGTAACAAAATTATTTAAAAATTAATATTTTTTTAAAACCGTAAATTAGAAAAAGACCAGTCACCTGTTTATTGCGACATATTTTTTAATTAAATCAACTACAGGGACCATGAAACTTGCCATTTCTCAGTATTTCACTCATAAAAATACGTACAGAATCATGGCTTAGGTATCACCGAAAGGGTAAAATAATTTTTTTAGTACAATAATTTGTATATATGAACTTTCAATCTCGAAAAAAGAAGTATGTGTCGATTATGTGCGAGCGTTGCTCATACTGGTAAACCATATAAATGTAATAAGTGAACCCTTTTAATTTTAGTCTCTTATTTATCTTGGTGTCAAAACGTATTGAATTTAATATGTATTTTTTAATTAAAAATAAAAAGACATAATTTAAGTATCATCTGAGGTTAATATCATCTAAAAAAAATTGATCAGACTTTTATAATAAAATGTAACGCCATAAATCTTACCATTCATTTTATGAATAAATTAAAAAAAACTTTTAAATTAAATATTTTCACATTTTTTTATTGTTAATTTCATGAATGTATTTAAAATATTAGTTTCACAGGTGTATTTAGATTTTTATTTTAAAATTTATTCAAATATTAAAAGTGAAAAATAAAAATCATAAATTTTAAAAGTTAGCGTTTCGAATAAAGAACCTATAAATATTTATGTGGTAATGACAACTTTATAAATGCAGTTCATTATTAATTTAAATATATTTTTATATTAATTTTTTTATATATAAATGAAGGTAAAACTATCCCTATTATACTTTTTATAATTATCGGAGCAATTAATTTTCATTTACCAATTTAATTTTATAACTGTTATAAAAAATAAAAGATTAACTTAAAAAATGAAAAGTTATGAGTTTTAAAATGAAATGTCTAGGATGAATGTAAAAATATATTTTTTTAATTTTGATTGGTCATTAATATTTTAGGTGGTAAAACTAACATTATTCTACTTTTCATAAGGATGGGAGTAATTAATTTTTATTTACTAATTTAATTTTATAAACATTATAAAAAGTTTTGAAGATCGAGGAGTTCGTTCACATCTGAAGAAGTCGGAACAGATGTGCTCACGGTTTGACAAAGTCATCGGCATTTTCTGGAAGTTGGAGGTGCTCTGGACCGTCGGGGCTTTCTTCCTTAATGGGAGATGATGTTCGTGCGTGCTAATTTTTTTAGTTTTTTAATGTTTCTGTCTAAGAAAAATGGGAGAGAGACTTGGAATTTAATAGAGACCAACAGGTAGAAGAGGGAGAAACTTAAAATAGTGGAGATCTGAACTTTAAACAAAAACAGAGAGATAATATTACTCTTGACAGTTTAGTTATGCTTGCATATATGTGCCCTTAAGTTAGGCTCGATTTTCACATGACCATGAGTATTTAATTCTTCAATCGGTGGTCATCTACTTTTAAAAAAAATAAAAAAATAAAAAATAACCCTATGAGTTTTCTCCCAAAATTTAAACATCCAAGTATTTAAAAAAACTCTTTGATTTGTTTAGCACAAAAAAACTCTCTGATTTTATCTTGAAAAATAATGGTGTCAGGTTATTCTTCAATCCTCATTTGTGAAAGAAAAAAAAAATCAATAATAGTAAATATAATTATATTTTTATTCAAGAGTAGATAATAACCTTCATGCTATTTTATTAATATTTGAAATAATGAACATTACACAATGAGAGTTTAACGTGATTTCAAGTCTCAATAGATCTTATACATATAATCTCTAGAATTATGGGTTTGAATTTATTTTCTCACGTTAGTATTGATTTTTTTTTTTTTTTNATTCAAATTAAAATCAAACTCACATCTAATGCAAAATATACCAAGAAAAATCAAGCTTATGCTATATTTGAAAAGAAGGTAAAGTTGTGACATTTTTTAAAATGCTAAATTCATGTTTTAGTCCCCCCATGTTTATGTGTTCTTTTATTTATTTAATCCTTATTGTTTGAAAAGTTTCAATTTTATCATTTATATTTTAACATTTTCTAATTTAGTTAGTCGTTCACTATTGATAAATGTAAAAATTGGAGCTAATTGTAAATTGAGATGACATAATACTTAATAAATTGTACAATTAGAGGAGAAAAAAAGTCATCTAACCGAAGAAAATTCCTAATGCATCCTCTAAATTTCTAAGGAACTAGTAGAAATATTAAGTTTTTTTCATCTTAATTATTTTTTCCCTCTAAATTTCTACAAGTTCGTTAAGTATGATGTCGTATAAGTTTATCATGGTCAATTTTAATATTTACTAATAGTGAGAGACTAAATTAAAAATGTTAAAACATAAGGGACTAAATTGAAGATCTTTAAAAAATATACAATTAAGTCGTAAAAAAAAACTCTAAAATATTAGAGACTAAAATATATATTTAGTATTTTATTTAAAATATGTATTAAATTTATGCTCAAGAAAAAAAAAAAGACTATAATAAGATAAACTTGCAACCTATTAGAGATATATATCAATTATCTGCTTTAACATATTTAATCCTTTTTAATACTTAAAAAAAGCTTGACTTCAAAGGGTAAGGTTAACCATATTCAAGATTTAAGTTAATAGATTATGATATATTTGACAATTATATTGGTTTATATTCAATCTTTACTGTAACTTGAGAATCCGAGGAAATTCTTTAGGAGACTTGCTCTATAACTGGTAATGTGAAAATAGAAATCTAAGAACAAAAAATTCAATAAAAAAACAAATTTGTATTAACGTATATATTATAATTTTTTTATTATATAATTTATAATATAGTATATTTTACATGTTTTTTAATTTAAAAAAAATGAATTTAGAACTTGAAATAATATATTTATAAAGTTTTTTTTTATCATTTCGATGTATTTTTTAATTTAAATTTAAAATCTAAAAATATTAAAAAACATAAAATATTGTATTTTCAAAATTTTCACTAATCGAATCACATCATCGAAATATAGTTTTTAAAAATAAATTTGCCGAAAGGATATCTTAGATTTCATTAAAAAAAAAGAATCTAGATGGCATACGAAACAAGCTCTTAACTACTCCTCAATTTTTGTAGAATTTAGGTTTAAATACTATTTTCGTATTTTACTTTTAACTTTGATTTATTTTGATCCATGTACTTTCAAAATTGTCTATTTTGATAAATGTACTTTGGTTTGGTTCTTGGTTTTTAAACTACTATTTTGGTCTCCATTTATAAAATTTTGACACAAATTTTATATACGATAAAAATATTTTACTGCAAATTCATAGTTACATTTAGAAAAAATTTAATGAGTGAAATATCATACTACAAATTTAATTGAAATAAATGGGATGAAAATGAAATGAAGAGATATTATGAAAGTACGAGGATGAAAAGGTATTTAAATCTATAATTTATTTAGTGGGCACGGGTATTAAAGAGTTAAAGTTGAACATATCTCTTGAATTAAATGTTTGAGATATTAATTTTCTTTTTAAATAGTGCTCCTTGGTTTAGCCCTCTATACGTCATTAAATGTTATTCCAAGCAACATTTTGTATACCTAATTGTTGTACTATTAGAAAAAAAATAGAAAAACATTTTAGAGTTATTTTCAAAATTTTTAAAAGTAGTTTCATCCATGAAACCATATAGCACTAAAATCATGAATTACATAAAAATTCTCGAAAATTATTTTAATACTGTGATAGTATGACAAATTATAGCAAATATTAAAGAACGATATAGAATCAATAAAATAAAATAATATATCATTTAATGATGTGTCAAATCATGAATGGTAGGAACATTTAGATAGTATTAGATAGATAATTTTCTAAACTCTCCTAAAAAAATCCCCTTTCTTAGCATTTCTTTCTAATTTGTCCAAAAGACTTTTCAAATTTAATTGAGAAAACATCTAGTTGGTCCTTTTGCCATTTTTCTGAGAATAAAATGGAGAAAAAGAAAAGGAAATGAAGGAAATCCCAACCCATGATTGAAAAGGGAGTGGACAAAAAAAAAGTACATTTTTTTCCTTCTATTCTACAATAATGTTCTGTCGACAATATCGTTTTAAAATTTTTTGCAAAAATATATTCTTCTCTAACTGTTTTCAAGAATAATTCTTGGAAATAGTTTGTCGTCTCTTCTGGATGATGTGACAGTGCAGATCGTCTCTTGAAAAAACGACATGTACGGTTAGAATTTTTTTTCTTTTTTTTTTTTTTTTACTAAATCTCACTATGTAGTCTATTGAAGGGACAACCAAAAGTAGAGTTAAAAAATGAATGCAATAATTGAGGAAGTTTCCCCTAGGGTAAGAGAAATATTAAGGTCTACGCATCCATAATTTCTAAGAACAAAATATATGTTATATACAACATAGCTAATTAATTAGCAAGTCTATAGAGTTGCTCAAGGTGGAAACGTAACCCTTTTTTTTCTTTTTTTTTAAGGTATAATATTAATAGCTACTCAAGCTATGCCTACTTATACTACAAACTACCTTAAATTCTCCAAAGGTTAGTTACTTGTTGAGAATTATTTTAAAAATTTTATGGGATTTACTAGGAAAAAAAATTCTGGAATTTTGTTGATGGGATTTACTAGAAAAAAATTCTTGAAAATATCAGCCAACATAAGTAATTGGCACCCGACGAAGAGGTAATAGTTCAAATCATTCACCCCTACTTGTTGTACTCATTAAAAAAAAAGAAGTCTGGAAAAGATCTATGTGGATCGAAACTCGAAACAGTTAATATTTACTTAATATTTTTTTTTATCAAACCCTAAGTCTCATCTAACTACAAATTTAAACATAACTTAGTGATCAACAAAACACATTTAGGCCATTTTTTAGAAAGAAAAAAAAAATCTTCTAACGGAAAGATAAGTACTTATAAAACAAGTTGTTTGGCAAATGTTCTCCAAGCGAGTTTATCTTTTTATTTAGGCTTTTTTTTTTCTGCACTTTTCCTTTAGTAATAATATCTGGAGTGTTTAAACTAGCCAGGAGAGTGCATTCGCTTTGAAATAACTTTTTGAAAAATTATCTCTCAAGTATATATGTTCTTTAAAAATGAATTTCAAAGCAATCTTATATTTCAAAAATGTTTTGCCAAAGCGAGCGCATCTAAGTGATAATTAACATATATCTCATACCACGAGGTTATGAACTCGATCTCCCACCCGTAACGCAAAACATACCAAGAAAAATCAAACTTTTTGAAAAGAACATAAAAGTTGTAACATTTTATATACTTTGAAAACATTTTACTACAAATTTCTAGCTAACATTTTAAAAAATCTAGTGAGTAAAATGGGATGCTAAAAATTTAATTGAAATAAATGAGATGAAAATAAAAATGAAAAGACGTTACGTAAGTACGGATGACAATATATTTAAATCCATAATTTATTTAGTGGGCACGTCTATTAAAGAGTTAAATTGTTTCTAAAAAAAAAGAGTTAAATTGAATCCCTCTCTTTGAATTAAATGTTTGAAATATTCGGGTATTTTTTTTATTAATAGTGTTCTTAGGTTTATAATTTCTATACTAGTATTATTAAAATAATTAAGTGTATTGTAACAATATTTTAGGTATCTAGTGAGATATAATCCCACTCTACTCGTTGTACTAAAATAAATTAAAAAATATTTTGGAATCATTTTCAAAAATTTTAAAAGTATTTTCAAGTATGAAACTATACAATATTAAAATCATGAAAGCATAGAAATTATTTTCAAAATGATTTGTCAATTATTATTTCTTTAAAATTAGAGGCTCAATCCTTCGTTATCATATTTGTTGTTTTAAAAAACGATAACGTAACTATTATCATCTTTTTCTCCTTTTTTTTTTTGAAAATTACTATCTATAGGCCCTTGTAATTTCTCAACTTTGGTTAATTTTAACTCCGTATCTTCCAAACATGAATTTTAGTCTGTGTACTCTAAAAAACCTACCATTTTAGTTCTACATTTTCCCTTTTTAGATCATAATTTTAGTACAACTCTTGAAATGTAGTCATAAATTTGTATTAAAGAGATTTTATTATGTTAAAAATCTTGTGAACAAGAACTAAATTGGTAACTTTTTAAAAGTATAAGAACCAAAACCTAGGTTTTAAAAAGTACGGGTACTGAAACGAACAAAATAATTACAAAGATAAAAATAAATATTTTGAAAATATAAAAACCTTTAAAAAGAAAAAGAAAATTAAAAGGTTCTGAAACAAAGAAAGTAATGAAAATTAAATATTGTGACGGGGACCAGAGCTGAAAAATGGAAGACAAAAAAAGATTGGTAATCTTCCTCAAAAAATGCAGTTTTCCAATTGTTTTGCTTTTTTGTGAATTCCACAGTTATAGAACAAAACCTGAAAAAGCTGTCAATTATTGCAGGAATGTAAAAGAAATTAATGGTATGTTTGAGCCAAAATCACTTCATTTCTATTTTTCCGGGATTGTTCTATCCCAGTCCAAGATTCATCCAAATTCCTTTCTTTCTTTTTAATTATCACGGGTACTCTTTCTAAATTAAATATCGTATATTTATGTAATTTTGGTTCCAAATTCATTTAATTAAATATGGATTTATACCATCTTAAGTTGATATTACTAAAAATTTGATTTCTATATTAGGTTCATAATTTATTCTTCAAATTAAAAAGTTTTTAGATTTTTTTTCAATGAATAATTGTTTTGAATTCTTTACTTTTAAAGTTAAAGATTTTTTTTTAAACATAATTGACATATATTTTCAAGTATAAATTGTGACTTCATCCCTCCATTCAAATTTAAAAATTTAAGATTTTTTTTTTCATATTTAGATTAAAATTGAGGAGGGAGCGGTGTTCCTATTTATTTCGAGACTCAACACAACTCATACTCATCCTTCTCCATCGGAATCTCAATAGGTGCCCTAACCCTAACCACCTCCGATTCCGATTTCTGACGACGGCGCGTTATTTTTTCAGGAGTCTGCTAAGAGATAAATGTCGAAGGACGGAGCGCTCGATCTCGCCTCCGGCGTCGGCGGAAAGATGAGCAAAGCCGACGTTCTCTCGGCCGTCGAGAAGTATCCTCTCCCTCTCTCTCTCTCTCTCTCTCTCTCTCTGCAAACTTTCTGTGCTTTCTCCGTTTCTCGTCTTCTCCCCCAAGTCTTTGACTCCGAGGGTTTCTTTTCTCCGTTTTGGTCCGGTTCTTTGGGTTCGGTCTGATCTCGCCAAGTTCTGTCTCTCGATATTCACAAAATTGGGGAAACTGAAGCCTAACGGAATCATTCGAATTGGGGAATTTTGAAAAAAAAAAGGGTCAAATTACATAAATTAACCATGATTTTACCATTTATTTAAAAAGTACACCTATCCATTTAACGGTTCAATAGATTTTTTATATTTCATAAACGAAAATATTGAGCAAGAATCTAAAACCACGTGATAATTTCAATCACAACGAGAATATTATTAAATTAATATATTTTATGAAATTAACAACAATTTAATTGTCAGATCATTAATCAACTACCACTCACTCCAAAGCATCTTCAAGATTATTTAGAAATATTTTATAAAATTTAAGAATTAGAAATATATGTTTAAAACTTCGGTTATCAAATTGACACTCATTCTAAATCTTACCCGTTATTTGCTCCGAATTTGTGATGTGTTCTAATAGAATTTGAGAGATATTTAGCTGTGCTTTTTCCCATTTGTTTCTAAAACATGTTTTGTAAATTGATATAGAAAAATGGGTTTGTATTGTTTTTAATTTTGAAATTGGGTTTCTGAAAATAAACTTTATTATTTTGTTTTCATTTATTTTTAAATTATAAAAACACAATGGAGACAGTTTATAAACAATGGAAACAAAAAAACAAAACATTATCTATATTTTTAATTGTCTTTTATTGTAAAAACTTATTTTATTGTTTTTTTAAATAAGACTACACGTGTGTGTTGGTTGGAGCTGTATTATATTTAATAAATAAATAAATTAACTCATAAATATTTTTTAAAAGGAGTTCTGTAATATTTATAATTCACTGAAAAATACACCATATAGTTCCCAGAGCCAATGGTCGAGACAAGAATCGAAAAATAATTTTTTTTTAGTGGTCAATTTGAAAATACTTTGAAAAAGTTTAGTATTACATGAAAACCATACTCGGTTACCTTCCTCGCCTGCCACGTCAACATCATCGAGATTAAAAATAAAAAAGATTAAGGGAAGGGAAGGGTGTATGGTTTAATGGCGGGTAAATTAGGGTTTAGTTTTGAGGAACGTGGTGCAGGTACGAGAAATACCATGGGTTCTACGGAGGCGAAAAGGAGGACAGGGAAGCCAACTACAGGGACATGGTAAGAGGCAACTAATAATTTCCTGTTATTTGTTCTGATCGATCTTCGCCATATCTAATTATCTGTATTTTAATTTTTAGGTCAACAAATACTACGATCTCGTGACCAGCTTTTATGAATTCGGTTGGGGAGAGTGCTTCCATTTTGCTCCTAGGTACCATCTTCCTCCTCTCCTGCATTTTAATGAAAAATGCTTTTCTCCTGAGTGCCACTGAAAAGATAAGCTTTGTAGATGGAGTGGCGAGTCTTTCCAGGAGAGCATCAAGAGACACGAGCACTTCCTTGCTTTACAGTTGGGTTTGAAGCCTGGGCACAAGGTTCTGGATGTTGGATGTGGCATAGGCGGACCACTTAGAGAGATTGCAAGATTCAGGTGCTCTTAATTCTCATCATTGCCACGTGTATATATATATATATATATATATTTTTTTTTTTTTATCCGTAAGTGTCTAGGTGAGTTTACGCGCACCTCAACTAATCTCAGTGTCTAGGTGAGTTTACGCGCACCTCAACTAATCTCACGGGCAACTGCCTGACCCTACCAAAAAACACATTAGAATTACTAATTCCTAAAGTAGATGGTCATCATGGAATTTGAACTCATTCTCTTTTGGGTCGGTGAGCCACTCATGATGGTTGATCCTTAAGATATTTTTAGTTCTTAAATGGATGCCATACGGTCTTGACTAGGAATTATTTTAAATGTCTTCTTATTTCTTATGGAAGAGGAGTCCTTTGCATTTTTTCTTCTTAAGAGACAATTTCATTGATGGCATGAAATTACAAAAACGAGAGAGATCTCCATTTAGGTAGTTACAAAATAAGTCCCCGATTGGGTAAAAGATTATAAAAACTATAGTGATGAAAAGGGGGAGCATTTACGCTATGATATAACTAATCAAATCAGACTATATCATAAAAAAAAAATAAAAAAAATTAGGAAGAGAATTCTCCTCGTCTTTAGAGATTGAATGATTCCTTTCTTGTCGAGTGTGATCTAGAAAAATGCTCTCTCAAAAGGGTGCCTTAGGGTCGGGAGGAAAAACCATGGACCAATTGAAAGCATCGAGAAGACTTAGAGAGGTGATAAGAATGCTATTAGGATAGAATTAGGGTATATTAGTAATTAGTTGGGGAAGTTGTTATAAATAGAGTGAGTGGAAAAGAGAGGAGACGGGTAATTTTTTAGTATGGTTTAGGCTTGAGTGATCTCAAGAGGGGAGGGTCCAAGTACCTCGAGTCACTTGAGAGTTATTGTGTGTTGTTCTATCTTCTATATTTCAATATATTTCTAGTTGTTCGGGTTCTATTAGATTTAAGGTCGGAATTTGCAAGAATGCTCATTTTTTGAGTGAACATTTCAATTTTCCAGCTCAACAATGTTTTTGACTAATGATTGTTAGGATTAATAGTAGGATGATCTCAAATTGTATTCTTGATACTGCATGTTAATGTTATTGTTAATAATATTTTACCTTCTCAGCATCTCATATTCTATGTAAATCTGTCACAGCTATACTTCAATTACTGGGTTGAACAACAACGGCTACCAGATTACAAGAGGAGAGGTAATTTTTGGCCACGACCATCAACTTTTTGTTCTCTCTTATTATTTTCCCATCTGTCTATTATTTAGTTTTGCCTTTTTTTTTTACTGAGTTCTTATCTGAAGTAGTACCTACCTGTACTCTTCATTAACCATTTCACTGTTATGATCTTATTTTATTTCACAGGAACTGAACCGCATTGCAAAATTGGATGAGACTTGCAACTTTGTCAAGGTTTGTGTAGATTAAATTCAGCCTTTTGAAAATTTCTCGTGTCTCATGAGTTGGTTAAATCCTTCCTTGGTATAAATGGTCCCGATCACTAGATTTTGATTTCTGAATGCCATGAGAACCATTGCTTGCTTGATGGCAATAGAAATGGCTGAATTATGGGAATTTTCATGACATTAGAGTAACATTTTGAAAGTTTATTGACTGTGGTTTGTTCTTCTTCCGTATTTTATGAACATGGAATGATCAGTATTCCTCTACTAGAAACTCATAACCAAACTTCATATCTCGAACCTAGAACCGAGAAAGGCTAGATATGAGACCATATATGGCCTTTTATTTTTTTTTTAATTTTTGTTTCACTGTTGGAGCAAATAGGATGATCCAACTAAGGGCTGCCCCCTCTTCCCTTAATATGAACTTCTTGACATTGTGCCAAAAAGCATAATGTAAAAGCTTATGTTAACAAATCACATGATTCGTTTCTTATACATTCTACAGGGTGACTTTATGAAAATGCCATTTGATGATAACTCGTTCGATGCAATATACGCGATCGAAGCCACTTGTCACGCACCAGATGCAGTAGGTCCTTATTGTATTTGTTAAGTATGAGTGTACAGCAATAATTTCTGGTTTAACTGCCTGTTTTGCCTCTGCCAGTATGGCTGCTACAAGGAGATCCACAGAGTATTAAAGCCTGGCCAACATTTTGCTGGTTATGAATGGTGCTTGACCGACTCGTTCAATCCTAATGACCAAGATCACCAAAGAATAAAGGTTATCTTGCTGATTATCTATCATGTCCCCCTTTTCCTCTGAATCTGATACAGATTATATTCACAATTTTCAATTTTATAGGCTGAAATTGAGGTTGGCAGTGGGCTTCCAGATATCAAGACGATAGGAAAGTGCATAGGAGCTTTGAAACAAGCAGGTTTTGAGGTGGATTGGAAAATGATCTTTCATTTGATTATATATTTTCTTTTCAGTTAAGATAAGATACTATTTTGATCCATGTAATTTAAATTTTGGTTCATTTTGATCCATATACTTTTGACGTCTTCGGTTCATTTTAGCCCTTGTTCTTTCAAAATGTTAGCTTTTGTTCTTATACTTTTGAAAAAGGATCATTTTGGTCTCTTAATTTTATTTTAAGCTCATTTATTTTGTCACAATTTCAACACAACACTATTTATACTAAACATATTCCATTCAATGTAACAAAGATTTTATATGAAAGAGTTTTTGTTACGTGTAGAATTTGTGTTAAAATTTTGAAAATAGGGACCAAAATTGTCACTTTTTATAAGTTTAGAGATCAAAACAAACCTTTTGAAAGTATAGGGGATGAAATGAACCAAATTTGGAAGCATAAGGACCAAATAAACCAAGATGAAAGTACCAAAATAGTATTTCAACCTTTCTTTCCACTTTTTCATGAATGGGTAAAAGGTACCAGATCGGGTTTAAAGAAATGAGCTTATATATGTATATATATACTCTGCACTCTGTATAGGTTATATGGGAAAAGGACCTTGCTAAAGATTCACCTGTTCCTTGGTACTTGCCTTTAGATGGTGGCCAGTTCTCAATCACCAACTTCCGCGCTACAGCAATCGGGCGTTGCGTGACAAAGTACATGGTAAGTTGACTCGATTGTGATAAAGCTGAACCTCGACCTTGCTACCGTTGCATAATTTCGACTATGGATATGGAAGAAGCTGATGAATTGCTGGGTTTTTTCTTTCTGTAGGTGAGAGCTTTGGAGTATATCCGCCTCGCTCCAAAGGGTAGTGAAAGAGTTCAAAATTTTCTAGAGCAAGCAGCACAAGGGCTGGTTGAAGGTGGAAAGTGAGTATCATATAGCACAGTATTTTCATAAGATGGGATATTACATAGAAATTAGTAGGAACGCCTGAGAACTAAGCAAACCGAACCAATCCAGGTCGATCGGTTTGGTTGGACTGGTTTGACTTGTCAGAAATCAGAGTAGAAAAACTAATTCAGCAAGTTTGATCTACTCTTTAGTTGGTTTATAATCTGTCTCAAAGTTCTTATGAGAAACTTCAACACTAACTCACTCTTAGGAACATGATTTGCATTCATTTTTAGCTGCAGCACTCAGTTCTTTTTCTCATTAAACATGTACAACTCCCCAACGTGCTGATTATAATTCTACTTCGATGCTCCTACAGGAAAGAAGTCATGACCCCTATGTTCTTCTTCCTGGTGCAAAAACCGCTTTCGAGGAGCAAGTAAACCGACATTGGCGAGTAATTTGCTCCTATGGTTATATTATGATACGTAGTGTATTTTCATTTCTTACTGGCCTGAAAACCGTTAAGCGTGAGTAAGACAATATTAGTAAGTTATTAGTTACCATGGTTTTATGTAAGTTTAGCTGCAACTTTGATGAAACAAAGGTAGATTTGGTTTCATAGTCACATTTCTAGAGTTTAGGAAGTTTTCTTTAGTTGGATTACATTGGAATCATGTTCAAATGGTTTCCTTTGTTCCTTAAAGATCACTTGTGAAACGTTCTCAATCTCAGGTACTACTACAATTTGTCTTCTTCTGTTATCTGTAATGGCTAATTTGATGGGCTTTGATGTTTAAAGTTTTTTTTTTCCTTAAATCTATTTTAGGAATCCATATATCTTTATAGTTGGATATTCACTTGCCTCCTTAATCCTTGAGCCAAAACGACCTTCCTCTAAATAAATGCTTCTTTCTAGAGTAACAGTTTAGAATGACCTTTTGAAAAAAAAAATAGTGATTTTTAAATAAAAACAACTTTTTCTACCCTCATAGTTTTCTTAGTAATTTTTTTTTTATTGCTAAAAGCACTTTTAAAAAAATTTGTAGTGTTTTTGTAATAAATAAATTATTTTTAAAATATATGATTGCTTTCAAATTCATTTTTAAAGAAATTCTCAAAAGAGATAATTTTTCAAAAAGTTGTTTCGAAGTGATTGCACACTCGTAGTTTAGGCACGAGAGATTATTACTAAAAGAAAGGTACAAAAAAGTGCTTAAATGAAAAGATACACTCACTTAGAGAACATTTTCCCATTTCCCAAACAACTTGTTTTATAAGTATTTATCTTTTTGTTAGAAGACTTCTTTTGTTTTCATTTTTAGTTCAATAAATGTGGGATTTTAATCAAATCTTCAACCTCAGATAACAAGTAGCTTGTTCACCGAGCTTTGTTTAGATTTGTAGTTAAATGAGATTAGGGTTTGATAAAAAAATAAATAAATATTAATTGTTTCGAGTTTTGATCTACATAGATATTTTCAAGATTTTTTTTTTGAGTCCAACAAGTGGGGGTAACGGATTTGAACTCATGACCAATAATTGTTGTGCCAATTATTGTTGAGTTAAGCTCATAGGGACATATATTTCCAATAACTTTTTCTAGTAAATCCCATGAAAAATTTAAAATGATTCTCAACAAGTAACTAATCTTCGGAGAATTTAAGGTAGTTTATAGCAAAGTAGACCTAGTTTGAGCAACCATTATACCTTCCAAATAGAAACCTAACTTCAAATTCAAATACCGAAAGTAGATGTAATGTGCAGCAAATAAAGCAAGCCAATATAACCATGATCCCAAAGTGAAATACAACTTTCTAAGATGATTGGTAATCCGAAGAGGATGCTCAGGTTCGAACAGTTTGTGCATAAATAAATTGAATTCAGGAAGCAAAATTATGTCAAGTTTGTAAAAAAGCCGAGCAAAGGTTGTAGAAATATTGGATTTTTTGTTGAAAATATATTGTTTATTAGCTCACTACTGGTTTTCACCACGTTAAACCAACAGCACAAAGACTCAAAAGTTGTACATGAACAAATAAACCTTGCAGAAGCACTCCCCAAGGGGGATGGGATCAATAAACACAGGCATGGTCCTCAGTAACGAAATGTTTTTAGTGTTCAAAACAAAAACCAAAAGTAATTTGCAACAGTCAACAAAAATGAAACTGAACTGTATTGATAACATTTTGAAAACAAAAATCACACTTAACAAGGAAAAAAAAATCATCAATTACGAGCTCAGATAACTGTATAATTAAAATGAACCTAACCATTTACCTGAATAAGCATCATGAAGCAACAAATTCAGACACAATTAGCCCTAACTTCCTTCAAAATAGCATCCTAAGACCCTGTACACCAAAGAAGCCACAGAAATTAAATTGAATTGATTTGATTGTCTCTAGATAGAATAAATTGAACTTACTCAAAACTGGACCTATTCGGGAAATAAAAATATTCCTCTGCTCCGGCTTGGACACAATCAGATAAAGAAACAAATGGTTCAATGTATCAACTCAGCCGTCGTCTCCGCCGCCTTCAGAGACAACATTGACCAACCGCAAAGCTAAAATGTTGACATTGCCGTGCGCCTTGGAATATAGAAAACGGTGAAGGATCGAAGAAACGAAAAGGTAAAAACAACTTCATCGGCAGTAAATCCTAATCTAGGGTTTGGCGATCGGAACCAGGCGTCGTTATGGAGATGTTAAGACTCATCATGTTCGTTATTGGAGGGAGCGGAGGATCAAAGAGTCGAGGGCGGAAGAAAATCGATTTCTTAGAAATAAAGTAACAACACAATGGGCCGGACTTGATTAATGTGGAAGTGGCCCAACAAAATACCCATCACTGGGCCCGAGGGAAGTAAGCCCACAACGATTAACAGAAAATTTAACAACTACCAAAAATAAGAAACAAACAATATAAATTGTTGCTAAATACTCTAATAAAATTTGAAACAATAAACAATAAATGCAAACGTTACACAATCCTAAAATTAACTAATTCCTCATGGAAAATAAATACTCCATTATTTTTTTAATTGTAGGATGATTTTCATTTTCGTAAAATTACACAATCCTTAATTCCTCGTGTGTGTTTTTTAAATAATTCCATGTGTACGGTAATTGTTTTTTATTTTTTAAAAATAATATATTAATTAAATCCTAAAATTAAATACATAGGTCAATAATATACAAAAAACCAAAAAGCATCATATGATATAAATATAAAGTATAGTTTTCCCTTTTTTTCTTTTTATATTTGTGAGTGTTCGGGTCGGTTTACGCACACTTCGATTAATTTCAGCCGCTTAATCCCACGATATTTGGTACCAAAAAATACATATGAATTAATTTTCTAGGTAGGTGACCCTAATAAATTTTTTCTTTTTCACAATATTTTTCTACCAATGTGGAAAAAGATTATACTCTAAAGAAAAAAACACGGGTAAGAAGATTCCGCTATAATAATAATAATAATAGAAATGAAAATAGATTATTGAAGCAAAATAGAAAATAATGATCAAGTTGTACTGATATTTGTTGGTAATCTCAGTACAACTCGGTCATTATCGATCATCTCCATAAACAAGCTGCTCAAAAATCAAAATGTTGTTATTCACGACTTCAATTTGTATTGGAAATTTTCCACCTAGACATAATCTCGACACTAAAATTTTTCAGAAAAACGATTGAAATATCAAATTGGTTTAGCTTCAATTGTTTGGATTTATTCAAATGAAATAATGTATTTTAAGAAATTAAAAATATATTGATTTCTTTGAAATAAATGACTAATGGTGATTGTCTTGTAACAATACGTCGATTGTTTCAAAATATTGATTTTCTTGAAATAAATGACCAATGGTTACTTTGATTATATCAGTTGTCTCGAAATATTGGCTTCTTTCGAATAAAGGTTCAATGGTTGTTTCTATATGTTGGTTGTGTTATATATCAGTTGCCTTGAAATAAATGTTGGTTGTGTAGAGAGCGAAGAGATGGAATCAGAATGGAAGGAATGGAATGTTGGAGACTGCTTTAAATGGTAGCTTTGGGTATAAAGTGGGACCAGCTCAAATATCAGGTGCTGCTTCGTTTTTACGTAATTCCTTGAGTAACAATATGTCGCTTTTAGCTCTGGACTGTTTTGCTTTTGAATTTGATGTTATAGCATCAACGATGCTAGAACAAAACATTCAAAGTTAGAAATATTTCGTATAAATCACATCATCATCAAACAATGCAAGGATGCTTGTGAATGTCAATAAACTAAGCATAAACATGTTGCTTATAGCTTCTTAATCAATATTTTTATCTACCCAAGATATTGTTCCTGGCAAAAATCATATTCTTCCTTCCAAAAATCTCTCTCTTAAGGAGAGTGTCAATTGGCTAAGCTGACGAAAGGACACTTCATCAGGGTTGCCTTTCCAACACAATCTACGATAGTGCACCGTCATTTCTAAAACCTTAAAGAGTCATTGAAGTTCTGTTGAAAGCCCCGTCGCTTCATTCCTAGGCATGCAAAATTATAATCTCTCGGATATAGCTTGACCATTCACTGACTTGGACGTTGGAATGTCTTCTGTTTTGCAGCTTCCTTAATCATCACAGTTTCATTCGTCTGTCAGGTCATCGTCCTTCACCCGAGCCGAGGTTCACAAACTTTGGTCAAATTCTTGATCAAACACTAAATATTGGTTTTCTAAAAAGAGGATAATGGTTGTCTTGATAGGTTGGTTGCCTTGTAATGATGGTTGTCCCAAAATAATTATTCAATATCATAGGCAATTTTGTTGATATAGTTGTTGCTTGGATAAGATTGTTGCTTCTATGTCAGTTGTCCCTAAATGATGGTTTTCTGGACGTAATTGAAATTTTGATATAGTTGGTTGCCTCAATTTAACAAATTTTAATGGTTTCTTTGATATACTAGTTGCTTGGTTGACTCGAAATGTTGATTGCCCCTACAATAGTTGCCTTAATGTAATGCAACCTTCACTATAATGATTGACTCAATATTTTGCTTCACAACTATAAACTAGAAAGATAATGGGAGGTGATGACGTTATTGCTTATTAAACTATACTGGATGGATGATCTTGTCAACTTGTGCACATCTCAGCTAATCTCACAAGCAGCCGTCGACCCTAAACATTTGGTGTCGCGAAATAATGACTTAATTTCTTAAATAAGTGATTTGTCATCATGAAGTGTTTAGTTGTTTGGTCATCATGAGGTTTAAACTCATTCCCTCCCAATTTACTTAGCCCATTAAATTGAATCAACGAGCCACCCATGATAGTTCACAATGAGATTCTTATTTTTTTCACAACTTTACAATCACAAGATTTTAAGTTTTATAAAGCTCGTTTGATAACATTCATGTTTCTTTTTTTTAATAAATGAGAATAAGAAACTTACATAATTGTAAAATATTTAGATTTATTAATAAAATTGAAAACGAAAAACAAGAAACGAAACATTACCAAACGGCTTGGTAGTAACCTCGTCCAAACAGTTTTCTTCTGTTGGCAAACTCAATGCGAGTGCATTGAATTATTTTTTTGCTCTATCTTTCTGCCAGACAAACGTGCATGTTATTCTATTTTAGGTATTTGGGACAGATAATATTGGTGTTAATGATGCCAACATTAAATGATAATTTGAGACACTGATTTGAAGGTGACATATTCAGCTCATTCTCTCTTCATTTTTTCAAAATATTTAAAATTTGGTTAAAGAACACTTTCCATCCATGTACTTTAGCTAAAGTAACAATTTAATCCCTAAACTTTAGTTTTGTAACGATTTAGTCTCTATATTTTCAAATTGGTAACAATTTAGTCCTTGTAATTTAAAATTAGTAACAATTTAATCTTTATCGTAAAACTTTTTTTTGTTAAGTTTCTTGCATGTATAGATTGATAAACTAAAGAGTGATCAAAATATGTGTTTATAAATTAGAAATATTAAATTGTTATATAATAAAACTTGACGCTTAATTTTAATAAAAAAATTTACGATAGTAATTAAATTATTACAAATTTTAAACTACAGAGACTAAACTGTTACAAGTTAAAGTTGGATAACTAAATTGTTACTTTTGTAAAAACACAGGACTAGACATGTTTTTTAACCCTAAAATATTAAGTTATCAGTACTTTGTATCTCTTTTCGAAATAAAATCTTATTATTCCTTCTCCATTACTAGAGAGAAATATATATATCACCTTACAAATATTGATGATCAACATTCAAACTAAGATCATGGATAGTATGACATAAGCTACAAGAAAAGAAAACCAGTAAAAACTTCCCGAGACAGAGAACTGCAAATAGTTCAAGAACACACAGCTAGCCTCATCATCAAAGGTTTTAATTACAAAAGAGAGGGATGTAGTATAGATCCAGCACCCGTTGCAACATCTACGTCTATAGCGGTGAATAGCGCTTGATATCGAAGCGAAATCGAGGGCAGGCAGCCATGGAAATGGCATCTATTGCGCTAGAACAACACGTACATCATCGAGTACGGGACCGCAGAGGGATCCATAATCGTCAGTTCTAGTGTGGTAGTATGAGCTGAAGAATGTGAGCCTAGTCCTATATGAGATGGCTTTGAACTTGAGAATGGCAGTTTTGTAGAGGCCTTTTCCTTGGGATTGGAAGGGGACTTTGACAGTGTCTTTAGCAGCAAATGCTTCCACCATCATTGATCCATGGCATCCGTTCTTGGCGTCGCCGACTTTGAACGTAAGAGTGTAGAGTTTGTTGGGTACGGTTCTGATAACTTGAGCAACGGCGCTTTCTCGCCCTGCAACGAGCTCGATTGCAGCGAGTCCAGACGGGACATTGAAGTGCTTTGAATCAATGTATTTCACAGCCTTGAGGGACTCTATGATCCAGCCTGGGAGTGGAGATGTGAGGTCTTCTTGTCTTGGAGGAAGAAGAACTCCATTGCTGGAGTTTATCAACCGATGAGGACCGACCTCGAAGCTCGGGTTCCGGACCAAGTTATCTGCAACATTATGGTTAACAGGCATGGATCAATATTGGAAAACGAGTAAATCAGCATCGATTTAGCATGAAACCAAATTCACAAGATTTTGGCCTAACATCTTGAGAACTGTTCTTAAAACTGAGAAACAAAGATCATAGAACATTACAAGACGTGCATACGTTTTTGATGAACTAGAAATCAGAAACCAAATAACTGAGATGGTTAAATCTTGACTCAAGACCAAATATGTGTTGCGTTTGTGGGGAGGGGAATAGTTTAGCAATAAAACGATATTGATTCACTAGATCTTTCATCTCGTTTTCTTTCCTGGTTAACATTTTGTTAACCTAGAGCATTACTAAACACACACGTTTCTTAAATAAGCTAAGAATTAATGACTTTAATATGTTGTGGGGGATAGTTTTACCTCCAGTTGGCAATGGAGGGATAAGCTCTTTGATGGCAACAGCATCCAACAGAGGTCCACAAGCAGGATCTTCCTGAACTCCAGGATTGTAGAACGTAACCTTAGCGGAATCTGAGGGAGCTATGAATCCAAAGGCATAGACATCACCTCCATTGCTGCTGTACAGAGTTTGCAGAGGCAAACTTCCATTCTGGGGAGGCACTAACACAGCCAAAACTTCATCTTGCGCACATGTTCTTGAAGCTCCAAATGTTAGAGCATACAGAGACCCTTTTTTCACTTTTATGATCTGAGAGATTGAAGCCTCGTTGCCTAGCCTCACAGCGTGGACGCCATGAGCGACGGGGAAGAACATTCCTCCAGGTTGAGGCCCGCCAGAGATGTACTCAACCAAGCCATTGATTTCCCAGCTGGGCAGAGAGTCTTTTCCTACTATTACTGTTTTCTTTAAGTTGGTTTTTGCTGGTGGCTCCTCAAAGTTCCCATTTGCTAGAAGTCCTGTGGGAGAAAAGAAGCAGAGTTGAATGTTCAGAAATGGCAAATACAAACAATCCACATTGCTATCTCTTTCTCCATAACTAGAGAAAGATCCAACTCCCGACTGTTTGGACAATAAATCTCAACATAATTCTATGGACTGACATAACTCGCTTTAGTTTTTGTTGGGAACGCGATCAATGTCCCACGTAGACAAGGAAAGGAGAGATCTATGGTATATAAATGGAGGAGAACATTTCCATTGGTATGACATCATTGGAGTGAAACAAAAGCAAAATCGTGTAGGCTTAGACCCAAGTGGACAATATCAAAACATTGTAGAAACGTGGAGAAGACTATTGTCCTAACAGTTTCACTCAAAAGGTCACATGCTAGTGGAAAGGTTCAATTTACTTATATATCAGGGATCTTTCCATTTTGTAACGGTTGTTCACATTCCAAACACCTAACACCAAGTTTGAATCTGGTTTAGAAGGAAAAACAAACTCCATGAAGAACAGATCTAATGGAATGGATCTCCCTAAGTAAGCAAAACGAAGTTGGAAAGCAGCAACTCAAAAATGGAAGTTGCAGGAGAAAACCAGTAGGATTTCACCATCAAACCCAGCACAAGAAATGGAAACCATAAAGCCAAAAGTTCACATTTCATCAGTAAATCCAACAAAGAAAATCCAAAACAGTACTACTAACAAGGAAAGCATTTCAAGTTAAGAACCCCACAAGAAAACATCAGTTCATATTCTCCTCATTCTGCAGCAAACTGTAAAAATGGCAGCACAAACAGCCAAACAAACCCACAAAAAACAGAAGGCCGATTCAGAAAATCAGGCAAAAGGGGTTCCGAAAAGGAGCATTATACCTTCCAAAATGGTGCCAGCGAGAGCAGAAGAAGCCAAAAGCAAGAAGAATGCGAGCAATGGCAGTGGAGAAGAAGCCATGTTCGGTTTACAGAGGAAATGGGGAAGAAGAGGGAAAAGGGTATATGGATGTGAGAGAAAATGGAGGTTTGGAGATGGGATTTATAGTGAGAGAAGAATGAACAAATCAGGAAGAAGCGAGGAAAGAGAAGAAGCTTTATTAGCAGAAATCGCGTTTAGTGAGCTGCAACCTGTAAAATGAGATTTTGAAACATGAAACACAGCTTGTGAATTTGTCTGCTTGCTTCCATTTCGAGACCGATTTTTTCTCCATGATTCATGGACTTGAAGGCGGGCAACCTCGTCATTTCACTTCTTTTCTCAAATACCATTTTTGTTTTGTACCATAATTTGTCCCTAATTTTCTTTCTATTGGGTTCAATTTCTATACTCTAGAGATGAAAAGTCCAACTTATATGTGAATTCATACATCTTAGTCTATAAATGTATGTTTTAAGGTAAAATTGTAACTTTGATCGTAAACTTTTAAAGTTGGATATACCGTTCTTAAATTTTAAGATTTTTATTTAATCAAGTCCAACGTTATTAAAAGATTCAAATAAATTATTGTTATTAACTCTATCTTATTAATATTCATGTCGGTAAACGATTGAATCTATTTGAAATCAGCCTATCAATAATTTTTAAACGTTAAACACCAAATTAAAATTTTATGAATCTTTTAGAAAATTTTAAATGTAAAGAACGAAATTCAATTAAAAGAATATATTACAATACTTTTAAAGTACTTGAACTAGTTACTTTAAAAATTAATGGATCCAAATAAAATACTAAATTAAAAGTAGGATTTAAACATTTAACAGATTTTAAATTTTGAAATAATTGGGAACATTTTTTTTTCTTTTGAAGTTATAAATTTATTTGCAATTAATGGCTTCCGTTGAGGAGGCAGCCAGTAATTAATGAATTATAACTTGTTGAAATTAATTAAACTGATAAATAATAATTTTAGGATTTATTTGAAAAAATGTCAGATGCTGTCTCTCAATGTAAATTAATTTGCAGAAAATAAATAAAAATCAAACCATCCTTCATACTAGGAAATTTCCCAACCGCTTCACCAACTTACTAATAATTTTTCTTATCAAGTGCTTTCTAAGTCATATTTAAAAAATAAATTTCAGATGAAAATTTAAAAAATTATTTTATCCTTAATGTAGACAACTTTTTTGGCAAATTATGTTATTGTCAAATAGAAAAGAAAATCAAAACATAGCATGAATAATGGGGAACGGGCATTTTGGTAAATAAGAAAAAGGTATTTTTTATTTTTTGTTATTTATTATTATTTTTTTACCACAATAAAAAGGTATTTTTAGATTCTGTATATTTAAATTTTGGTGTAAGTATAATTTACCTATAGATTAATTAATATTTTGTAGTAGCATAACATTAGGATTAATTGTTTAAGAGGATCTCATTATTACAAGATAAAATATTTGAGAATGGATTATTTATTTATATATATATATATAAATATATTTATTTATTTATTTAGTACGATTGGATTATTTATTAAAGTTTAATAATGTGCCTATGGAATTGGATTCTACTATCCACCTAGAAAAGTTATTTAATCGTTATGATTTATGACTTAGTTTCCTAAATTATAAACTATATTTTAGATCTAAATTTATATGTAGTTTAACTCATTAAGATAAAGAATTGTGCGTTCAAATTGATTAGAATTATTGTTTATTTCTTCCATCTTTTCCTCAACAAATATTCAATTTTGTTGCTCCCATCAATCATTCATCTTGAACTCTACCGTCTCATCACACTAACTCTGAAATGGGAGACGAGTGAAAAAATGGGRGAATGCATCCAGGACTGTATTAGACCTTTATCTATATAAAATAATATATAGATGTAAATCTTAAAAATATATTTTTTTCCCTGAGCAGGATTGAGTTGTGTCACAAGGTGACAATAACTAAATTTAGAAAGATTGCAATTTTTTTATTCCAAAAAGGGGCAAGAAAAAAAAAATATATATATATATATATATGTAGGGTTTCATGGTTAAATTATGACAAAATATTTTATATTATTTTAAATTTGGAATCCAACAAAAGTTAGGATAAGGTCCTTCTACCGAGGAATGGTCACCCACAAGCTAATGTCCCGTTTGGTTCGACTCAGAGAAATTAAGATAAACATTAAATATCATTTTTATATTTTCAATTTTTAGTGTCTATATTTTTATTTTTATTTTTATTTATTTTAGTATGTATTTTTAAATTGTTCAGTTTAGTCTTTGTATTTTTTATTTTTATTATTAGTTCCTATATTTATAAAATATCTATTTTGGTCAATATATTTTTAAAGAGTGATAATTTAGTCATTATTTATAAAAATTCGTCAATTTTATATATAATGGAAATACTTTAGTACAATTTTATGATTACATTTTTAAATAAATTTTGTGAGTGAAATGTCATATTAAAATTTTGTGATTAAAAGAAAATAAGATAAAAGGAATATGAATAGACCAAAATGATTTTTAAACGTACCTTTTAAAAGTGTATAAACTAAAATCAATAAAAATTTAAAATACAGATATCAAAATGAAGCAAAACTTAAAGTATTGATTATTTGAAATTAAAAGGTAATAGTTTGATGATAAACATAAAAAGAGTTTTTTTTTTTTTTTGGAAAACACATAAAAAGAGACTTAGTTCATAATTTTGTTAAAAGCTTGCTATACGTGCCTTGGAATATATCAAGTTGAACACGTTGCTATTGTTCAATTTGATGATAAAGATAAAAAGGAGATTTAGTTCATAATTTTGTTACACGTGCCTTGGAATATGTAAAGTCGAACATATTGCTATTGTTCAATTTGAAATGTTCAGTTACATACGTTGTAATAATATCATTTTCATTGTCAAAGTGAGTATAGTTCAGCGATAATTGACATATATCTCAAATTAAGAGGTTGTAAGTTCGAACCCGACCCCAACATGTTCTAAAAAAAAATAATATCATTTTCATTCTAAACTAATAATAATATCATTTCCAATTTTCAAAGACTAATTTTATGTTATGCCAATTATTTAATTAAAGTTGATCATATATTATTTTCATTCATCATGAAATATTTGGAATTCTTAAAAAAAATGATTATTTGAAATTCTCAAATATGTCTTGTTATGATCATGAGAGGGGAAATTGGGGTTTCCAACTCCATTATATAACTCATCTGGATTTTAGACCTATTTTTAAAAAAACCTAATTTGTGGTTCTAATTTGTGACCCATTTCTACTTTTTGTCTTTGTAAAATTACCAAAATATCCTTGTTTATTTTAAGTAAAATTATCCACCAATCTCTTCTCTCAACTGTTAGCATTTTTTAAAAAAATTTTGAATCTAATATAGATTAATTTATTACTTAACAAACGAATCCATACAAAAAAATCAGTAGATTAAATTATCCAATAATTAAATTACGGTGAAAAAAAGATTTGCATGATCCAAGAATAAATACATAAGATTTATCCGAAATTAATTAAAAAAAATTAAATTAAGGTTTCATAAATGTTGTGCCAAAATTGCATTAAATGACCGAGATTTAATTGACAATAAGGGCTAAAAGAAACTGGAATTAAGAGGGAGTGAATGAAAAAAAAAACTGGAATTGGGATCCCGGACTGAGATTGGAGGATCTCGGTCCGAGTTAGAAGGATCGCGGTCTAGGATTGAACCATCCCTTACCGGGATTGCAGAATCCCGGACAGAATAGTAACCCGGTCCGGGATCCCAATTCCATTTTTTTTTTGTTTTTTGCATTCTCCCTCCTCTTGATCCTATTGTTATCAATTAAATCTCGAGCATTTAATGCAATATTGTCCCGAGATTTTTGTAATCTTGACTTTTTTGTAATTAAATTTGCACAAATTATGTAATTATGTACGTTTTTATTTTTTCCATATTAAACTTTTAATTTATTGTTTGAGTTAGATATTTTTTTTAAGTTAGATTTTTTAGGGTTGTAATTAATTATTGTCAGATATTTGTGGAGGGAATAAAGATTTGTAAAGAGATTTGTGGGGGAGAGATGTTGATTTTGAAACATGAAGAGGGTACTACAGTAATTTCACATTTAAAAATTATGAAATTATTAATAAATAAGGAAGGGTGGAGTCATAGATTACTTTTTTCAAAATAGGGTCATAAATACAAAGTGAATTATGGGAGGGGTCAAAATTTCAAATTTCTCATCCTGATAGAACATAAAGATAGATTTATTCTTATGGTATTGAAGTAGGAAAATAACGTTAAATCTAACATGTGCTTTAAATAAGGAAGTCACAAAAATTCAATAGACATTATTGATTGTGTATACTAGACCAAATTCACCCTATTATTTCTTACTCTTTTTATTTCTTTTTTCGTTTTTTTTAAGAAACCTGAAATTGAAATACTAAACCAAATTCACCGTATCATTTTTATACTTTTCAATTAAAACAATACTTAAAATTGAATTTCAATTAACTTTTTTTAACTAATGTGACTGGTTACACCCACATGTCACATCAAGATCAAGAAACTTATTTATCACCCTTATAATAACTCCAATAAATTTTAAGCGCAATAATGAAAATATTAAATATATAAAAAGGATCAGATTCAAATATGGTTAATTTGGAATTTAACTCGATTGAAAATATTCTCATAAACGAGGGTAAAATAAGAAAAAGTATTAAAGACGAAAATTTAAAAAGAAAAAAAAACGAAATCAATTGAATTTAGATTTAGATTATAGATTCGATTATTTAATATGAAAATCGGAAAAATAGAAAGAAAAAGAAAGGGAAGCGTAGGATATCAAATCAACAGCACTAACATGCGCTAGCTAAAGTGTCGCTTTAACACGTTCGGTTCCCACGTGCGCTGTCGACTTGTCGGCGCCGGTTGAAAAAATTATTTAATGAATAATATATAATGACAATAATTAGGTTTCGATACTATTTGGATGCTTACATTTTAAAGATTTATTTGTCTCCTGCTCTCAACATATTTATTTTAATTTAAGTATTTTTAAATTTTGTTTATTTTGATCGTTGTACTTTCAAAAACGTTAATTTTGATTTCAAACTTTTTAAAAATGACTAATTTAATCCCTTATTTTCACTTTTATCTTTTTTTCAATGATAATTTAGCAGGATACTGTCTTCGTTCAATTTTTTGAAGTATAAATTTGAACTTTAATTTTGTATAAAATATGTATTAGAATTTTGCAAATTGTGATCAAAACAAAAGTTTTCAAAATACCATTAAAATAAAAAAAAATTTAAGATCATAAATATCAAAATGAATATTTTAAAAGTACTGGAAAAAATAAGAATAATAAGACAAGTACTTTATCAAAATAGTATTTATTAGTCGATAATAAATTAAAAGCTAGCACGTGTCATTATTAGTGAGGTGGGTGGGAAGCGGCACAACAAAGATTTCCTTCCACCAAAGACTAATTAATGCTAAATGGGCCAATTGGGCCCATTCCCCATGTGCACCACTCAGGCCCACTTCTTCAATCACTTTTTGTAATCTTTTTCTTTTCTTTTCTTTTCACCGACTCACACCCTATTACTTAATTCTCAAACTTTTTCCATGAATGATTATAAGTTCATTTTTATGGTTCTTTTAAATATATAGAGTTGTAGATGCAAAGACATGATCATAAAATAGATTTGGTTCAAATGTAACACCAAGTTTGAATGAAATTTATTTATTAGAATAAAGAATAATATCGATTGTCGTAATGTGAGAGAGATATACTATAATATTGAAGATATTTACCACTAAAATATAAAAGATTTAAAACTGACACTCATTTCAATGCAAGTAAAAGCCATATAGTACTATAATGTCGAACATGAGATAATGAATGATTCTTATATGTCACGACAGAAATGAATTTTTGGATCCTCTTTTGTACTGCAATGAAAGCGAAATCATTAATATCTATCTTAGAACTCTAATTTTTCCCCTTAATTTCCCGTAAAGCAAAAAGTTAAAAACACCCTATGCCAAATGATACAAAATAAGAAATTTATAGCATAACATAAAAAAGACAAAACCTAATAAAGCCAAAATTTAGTTGCAAAATGAACTTGACATCTAACTACAATCATGGTTGCAGTTTTTTTTAAGTACAACCAGTAATGAGTTTCAAACTTATGACATCTTAATCAAAGACAAGTACCAATTACCATTTGATTAAGTTTATGTTAGCGTAAAGATCTAGTTAATGCTATAGAAACTATTTTATTCTAAATTGGAATTTTAATATTATTTTAATTTAAAATTACAATATCTCACAAAAGATGTTAAAAACCTACATTTAACATTCCATCACTGTAAAAAGAAAACAAAAAGAAAGAAGAAAGTTGTCTAGCTTCCAACTAATATACTGTGATGTTTGTTGAAGTAATTTCGACAATTAAATCAAGTGTATCGACTACGACAATTATAGTTAATTAATATTGCAGTTGCATTGTCAATATAAATATAGTTTAACGTTAAGACATTTTACTCTTTACTTAGAGGTCGGAAGTTAAATCTCACGTCTCCATATTTATTATAGTTATAGTTAATTAATATCATTATCAATTTCAAAATTTTTTAAGGATATTATCAATTTCAATTATCTTTTTGGGAATATTTATTCGTCAGATTTTACCAAAAATTGACTCATTAAAAATGCTTTGGGTGTTCGAATACCCATAGCCGCATGTGTACTAAAAAAAGAACGTGTTTTGGACTTGGATATTGATTAGTTGAGTTGGGCCTAACCAAACTTTTATCTCGAGCTTGGGCTATTCCTTCGGCTACTGGCCGGATAGGCCCATTAACTAAAATAATATATAATTAATTATGTAACTAAAATAATATAGACCCATAGAAATACCAAATTTTTTTCCCAATCATTTTTTTTCCTAATCATTTCTAATATCAATGAATGCTAAAAATTTTGTTAAAAAAATATTGACCACATTAACAAGTTAGTTTACACCAGTGTCATATCAAATTTTCATTACATTTAACACTTTTTCTAAAAATTGAGACTATTACATAAAATATAGACAGAAATAAAAATATTCTAAAGTATGAACAGCGAAGTTAAATAAAAATATAAAAATACAATATAAAACCAATTATTTTGTGAAATTTTGTTGTAGAAATATTGAGATTACTCGAAAATCGAAATGGGCCAACCCGAATACCCGGTTTTCTTCGAAACCCGTGCCCGTCAGGTCCGAACCCGGAGCTCAGATCTAGCCGTTTACTGAACCTAAAGGAAGGGCGCTAAAATTCAAATTTAAATTCAAATTCTCACACTGAAACCCTAATTCTATAAATTCCATGTTCTCTCTCCTCCATCTAGAATCCTTCAGACACCATCTCTGTGTCTTCTCTCTCTCAAGAAAAAGTATTCCGATCGCCATGGCCGTGGAGAAGAAGCGCCCATTACAGAACAGCACCGTTGCCAATGTCGACTCCGCTCCGGCGGGGCCGAAGAAAACAATCGAAGAAATGTACCAGAAGAAGACTCAGCTCGAGCACATTCTCCTCAGACCGGATACGTATGTCGGATCAATTGAAAAGCACACTCAAAACCTCTGGGTTTACGAGAACGACAAGATGGTGCACCGATCCGTTACCTACGTTCCTGGCCTCTACAAGATCTTCGATGAAATTTTAGTCAATGCTGCAGATAACAAGCAGAGAGACCCCTCGATGGACTCGGTCAAGGTTGTGATTGATGTCGAACAGAACTGTATCAGTGTGTTCAACAATGGAGATGGAGTTCCTGTGGAGATTCATCAGGAGGAGAAGGTTTATGTGCCTGAATTGATCTTTGGCCATCTGTTGACTAGTAGTAATTATGATGACACTGTGAAGAAAACCACTGGTGGACGCAACGGCTACGGTGCAAAACTTACGAATATTTTTTCCACTGAGTTCGTCATCGAGACCGCGGATGGAAAACGCCAGAAGAAGTATAAGCAGGTATGATTTGTGCGTCCTTCTTGGAGAGCGATAATGTATTTTTGTCGCGATCGTGTAGTTTTGCGGATCTGTAAACTGATTTAGTGAGTTTAGAATAACTTATGTTAAAATTTTGGATAATGGCGTTTTATAGGGAAGTGATTAGCATCTTGTTCGACAAATTGTTTAGTAGACTTTCATCCGGTAGTGTAGCTTTATCGCTGGTCTCATTTCTGGAATTTTGCAATGTCTTTTAGTTCCGAGGTTTTAATTTTGTGCTTCAAGAACTATAAGATACTATATACGTTTTTATTTTTGCAAATCCTTTGCAGATATCTTCCATGCTTGATTCATACTCTTTCGCTTAGGCTCCTTCAAAAAAGTTAACCTCCCTGGATGTCATTTTCCCCTTCTGTTGAATGTTAACTTCCTGTTATTCCATATAGGAAACAACTTTCGGAGTTCTTTGATGTTGGCTTGATTTGCAGTATGATAATCATTAGACACCCTTCAATATATATAATCTGAACTTGTTCGTAAGAGCTCCTAAATAACTGGTGTTTTTGTTTTGTACGTGGAAGGTATTCTGTGACAACATGGGGAAAAAATCCGAGCCTGTCATAACGAAGTGCAAGGAGGGCGATAATTGGACCAAGGTGACTTTTAAGCCAGACTTGGCGAAGTTCAATATGACGCATCTTGAAGATGATGTTGTTGCACTGATGAAAAAGCGGGTGTTGGATATGGCCGGATGCCTCGGCAAAACCGTGAAGGTTGAGCTGAATGGACAAAGAGTCCCTGTTAAATCATTTCAAGATTATGTAGATCTCTACCTCAAATCGGCTTCCACATTCCAGACAGAGCCCCCAAAAAGGTAGACTTGTTGAAGTTTCTGCTCGCAAAATTTGACGTTTATGTCATGCTTTAGGATTTGGCATAAGGGATTATAAATTCTTTCAGGTATCACATTAAGCCTAATGAGAGATGGGAAATCGTGGTGACTTTAAGTGAGGGGCAGTTCCAGCAGGTATATATTTTGTTGAATTTATGCGCTTACTACAACTACACTGGAAATTGCAAGTTCTTGCGTTGATTGATGTTTTGTTGAACAGGTCAGCTTTGTGAACAGTATTGCAACTATAAAGGGTGGGACTCATGTTGATTACATCACTAATCAGATAGCAAATTATGTGATGAATGTTGTAAATAAGAAGAACAAAAATGCTAACGTGAAAGCCCACAACGTGAAGAGTTATTTGTGGGTTTTTATCAACGCTCTCATTGATAATCCTGCCTTCGACTCCCAAACCAAGGAAACTTTGACAATTCGTCAAAGCAGTTTCGGTTCTGGATGCGAACTGACACCAGAGTTTTTGAAGAATGGTCTGTACGAATAAACCATTAGCATTCACATAAATGCCGGTTTATATTGTTTTTAATTATTCGATACTGATTATTGTAAAAATTGCAATCCAGTTGCCTCGAAATCTGGAATTATGGACAGCGTTCTCTCGTGGGTTAATTTCAAGCAAAGCAAAGACCTGAAGAAAACTGATGGAGCAAAAACTGAAAAAATCAGTGGTATCGAAAAGTTGGAGGATGCCAATTGCGCTGGAGGGAGGAACTCGGAAAAATGTACCTTGATTTTGACAGAAGGAGATTCAGCGAAGGCCCTTGCAGTAAGTTGTCATTTTTACTTACAGATTGGTGTTCTTGCTCTCTCTCTCTGCCTCTCTCTAGATGAGTTTTAACTTAATTTTCCAATAGATGGCTGGGCTCGGTGTAGTGGGACGAGACTTCTATGGCGTATTCCCACTTAGAGGTAAATTGCTGAATGTGAGGGAAGCGAGTAGCAAACAGATCACAGAGAATAAAGAAATTCAGTACATTAAGCAGATTCTTGGACTTCAACAAGGGAAGGAATACAACAATGTCAAGCCTTTGAGATATGGTCATTTGATGATAATGACCGATCAGGTCTAGTGACTTATGGTTCCTAAGTTCATTTATGTTCTCACTTGTGTTCTATTTCTATTATTCCTGTACAACAAGTGGTTAACATCAATGCCTATATACAGGATCATGATGGTTCACATATTAAAGGACTCTTGATCAACTTTATTCATTCTTTCTGGCCTTCCCTCCTAAGGGTACCGTCTTTCTTGGTTGAGTTCATAACGCCAATTGTCAAGGTTGGTATGCTAGGCCTTATTCCTTAGCTATTTTGCTGAAAGTTATGGTTTCTCACATTATTATGACCTCCGCAGGCTACTCATAGGAATGGAACTGTTTTATCATTCTATACCATGCCCGAGTACGAGTCCTGGAAAGAAAGCTTGAGGGGCAATGCAAGTGGGTGGTCAATCAAGTACTATAAGGTCGGTCTTCTAAGACTTAAATGTAGTAACTTTATTGTGGAAGGTGTATTTCTTTTTAGATTCTATTTGCATGTTATTATTGATTCAATATATTAATTTGTTTTCCTAATTGCCCAGGGGTTGGGAACAAGCACATCAAAAGAAGGAAGAGAGTACTTTGAACAGCTGGGAAAGCACAAGAAAGATTTTGTTTGGCAAGATGACCATGATGGGGAGGCAATTGAACTTGCATTCAGTAAGAAGAAGATTGAAGAGAGGAAGAATTGGCTCCGCCATTTTGAGGTAAGAAGTTTCATCAGCCAGCCTCTGTTCTTTTGACTTTGCAAGGAGTTTAGTCTTTCTAATGTCGCTCTTTTTAATAACGCTTGCAGCCTGGTACCCATCTAGATCAGACAGAAAAATTGATAAAATACAGTGACTTTGTCAACAAGGAGCTTATATTATTTTCAATGGCTGATTTACAAAGGTCTATTCCTTCAGTGGTTGATGGCCTCAAGCCTGGCCAGAGGAAGATCCTTTTCTGTTCTTTCAAGAGGAACTTTATCAAAGAAGCCAAAGTTTCTCAATTTTCCGGTTATGTATCTGAGCATTCTGCTTATCATCATGGTGAGCAGAGTCTTGCTAGTACCATCATTGGAATGGCACAGGACTTTGTCGGCAGCAACAACATTAATCTTCTTCTGCCAAATGGACAGTTTGGGACCCGGAACCATGTAAGATAATTCCTCCATTTGCTTAAAGTTATATGAACTCGTCATTTTTAATTCTCTTGTCATTGATTTATTTTGAGATTCATGCGTTTTTTTTTCTCAGGGAGGCAAAGATCATGCGAGTTCTAGGTACATTTACACTAAGCTTTCAAATGTTACACGGTTTCTTTTCCCGAGAGACGATGACAGGCTTCTTAACTACTTGAACGAAGACGGCCAGTCGATTGAACCAACCTGGTAAAATTAATCTCTTCCTGTCTTGCTTCTCCTCATTCTGTTTGCCCCGCTATAAAAAGCAATTTTAATCCTTTTTTTTTTTAATGATTTTTAGGTATATGCCTATCATACCAACGGTTCTTGTCAACGGAAGTGAAGGAATTGGAACTGGGTGGAGTTCGTACGTTCCAAATTATAATCCTAGAGATATCATTACAAATGTAAAACGTTTATTAGATGGTGAAACGATGATGCCCATGGATCCCTGGTATAAAGGTTTTTCAGGAATTATAGAGAAAACTGCTACCAAGGAAGGAGGTGTTAGTTACACTGTCAGTGGAATTATAGAGGAAGTCAGCGATACAACGTTGAGAATAACTGAACTGCCAGTCCGCCGGTGGACTAATGATTATAAGGAATTTCTTGATTCTGTCACGAGAGTTGCAACAAAGAATGACAAAGAAAAAGCAGCGAAAGATCCTTTTATTGAGGTAGAGAAAAACTCCAATGTTACAAGCTTCTCGTTCATTTTCTTTTTCATTGTTGCTAGAAAGAAATTTATTTACTTACCTTAATGCAGCAAGCTGATCACCACAGCGATGACAAAACTGTATCCATCGATGTCCACTTAACGGAGGAAAACATGATACTGGCCCTGCAGGAGGGTCTGAAGAAAAAATTCAAATTAACTACTACTGTCAGCACAAGCAACATGCACCTGTTTGATTCAAATGGTGTGATTAAGAAATATGACACCCCAGAACAAAGTATGTTCCATTGAGTTATTTTATTTACATACAAAACCCGGCTATTTATTCTAGGTGTTAAGAGTTCTGTGAACTAACTCACAAATATTGTTGTGCAGTTCTTGAGGAATTTTTTCCCCTTAGACTTGAATATTATGAGAAAAGAAAGGTGAGCATCCTTGTCTTATATATATTTTCGAATCCATATAAAAGGAGGGAAAACAATGATTTTGACAGAACTGTTCGCTTTTTGAATGCAGATGAATCTCTTGGAAAACCTTGAAAGGGAGTTGCTTCAACTGGAAAACAAGGTTAGGTTCATCCTGGCTGTTGTGAATGGAGAGATAGTAGTGAGCAATAGAAGAAGAGTTGATTTATTCCATGAGCTTCAAGCGAAAGGCTTTACACCCTTTCCGAAGAAGACTAAATCTGTTGAGCCGGAGGTTGCTGGGGCATCTAATGAAACTGATGAAGCAGAGGAAAGCCCGGAGGCGAAAGGGGAGCGGGTTAGCGACTATGGGTATCTACTGGCACTGGCAATTGGAACCTTGACCATTGAGAAGGTTCAGGAGCTATGTAACGACAGAGACGAGCTCAAAGGGGAAGTGGAAGATCTGAGGAAAGCAACCCCCAAGTCTTTGTGGCTGAAAGATCTTGATACTCTTGAGAAGGAGCTTGATGTAAGATGAAACTAATAATTTCATTCATTTACTTCTTATATTAGCTAGCTAGATCTTGCTTAAGATTTTGATTGTGAATTCAGGAAATGGATAGAAATGATGCTCAGGCAGAGGAGGTAAGAAAACAACAGAGAATCAAAGCAAATAACGATGTAAAGCCAAAGATCTCTAGGAATGCTGCACCAAAAGCTCCACGTAACAGTAAGAAAACCATCAATTCAGAGACCATCGCGGAAAGTATGGACACAACATCTAGTTCTACAACCATGGAAGTTGGTAAGTTCTCGAATCAAATTTTCCAGAATCCTTAGCTTGATTTATTTTCCGTTGCATATGTTCAATAATTCTTCTCTCAACAGCTAGTAACGCGGTGGTGAAGCCCAAAGGCAAAGCAGCTCCAAGAAAAGCTCCTGCTAAGAAGGTAATAACTAGACAGGTTCATACATTTCATTTAGTTTCCTTTTAAGAACTTCACATCAACGTTCACCTGGAAATAATATGATTCGGGCGCAGGGTAAAGTTGTCAACCATAACGACGACGACGACGATGAAGTGCTTGAGCTTAAAGATCGTCTTGCAGCTTACAAAATTGATTCGTCTCCGGATCGATCAGAAGGTAAAATAATTATCACGCATTGTCAACTACCACAAAACTTAAACACCGAGGTTTATAAGTTGGATGTACTTTTTCTTTACCATATACCCGTGGGATTGGAAATTTCACATCTGAGTGCTCTGCCACACACTCGGTAACTATCAATATTAACTAGGAAGTAAATGACGTCTAAGTTTGAACACTAGTCCTCCTTATCTTATACTACCACTCAACTCAAAAGTTAAGTCCAGTCAAAAGTTAAGTCCAGATCATAGCATATTCAACGTATTCTTGATCGTGACTTGGTTTAACATCATACAAGCTTGGTGGTCAAGGATCTTACTTCCTTTTTTTAGTTTCAGCCATGGAAACTGAAGTGCCACAAGTAGGAGCGGCGGCCAAGAAGAAGGAACCCAGTAAGAGAGCACCTGCCAAGAAGAAAACTACTGCAAAGTCGGCTCAGATTTCCGATAACGACGACAGCGACGACGACGACTTTGAAATAAAGGAGGTAGCCCCTCCGGCAGCCAAGAAGGGAGGAGGGAGAAAGGCTGCAAATGCCAAAACCACGAAACCCCCGGCGGCAGCCAAGAAGCGAGAGGCGGCGGCGGGAAAGTTGGGGCAGAAGCTGATAACTCAAATGCTGGGGCCGACGCAGAACACCGGCATCTCGCCGGAGAAGAAAGTGAGGAAGATGAGAGCATCTCCCTTCAACAAGAAAAGCGGCTCCATCTTGGGAAGAGTTGGGGAAGAGGAAGAAGAAGAAGGAGAAGAAAATGGAAATGAAGGGAAGATTATGGGTTCTGCTTCTTCCGAGACGGCTGAAGAATCCGCCGGATTTCTGCCGGCCAGAGGAAGATCACAGAGGGCAAATAGAACTCAGGTGAAGTATGTAATCAGTGACTCAGATAGTGACCCAGTTTATGAGGGTGATGATAAAGATGACGATTTTGATGATGAAGATTGATGAAGAAACCTTCCTAGAGAACCTTTTTTGGCTTCTTGCCTCGTGGAGGGGTAGGTGTATGTATAACTGTATTTGCAGTATTATGGGGGTTGCAATTTAACCCAAATGACCCAAATTTGAGAATTTAAAGACGGCTGTATATTTTAACCCATTCTCTTTTTAAGTCTGGTAAGACGAATGTAAAGGTTTACGAATCTAATGGAAGAAGAATTTCAAAGAATACAAGGATGTTGGACTCCAAAATTTAACGCAAGCAATCTACTCCAAAGTGGACTCCAACCGAAAGGTATATAAAAATAACTGAAGCGGCTGCAAGAAGGTATGTTGCTTACTTATATGCTACTGGTGGATTATATGTTCCCACTGGAACAAATAGGGGTTGATTTAGTTGCTTTTGCCATAGATTCTAATCCCAATGTTGATCTAAGTCTGAGCGAAGAAGAGAAGGATTTTGTTAAACAACTAGATTTTGATCTTCTACTTCATTCCTATTGGTTGAATAAGTGCAAGACCCTCTACAAAAGAATGACCCACGCTCTTTGTCATCAGGAATTAGTTCTGATCAACTACTAGACCGACCAACTTATGATGGTTTATATTGACAAATACTTGAGTTGAATTTTGTGAGATTTATTGCAAGAAAAATCTTCTAATTGAATTCTTATTCTCACATGTCTCACATTTAAATGAATCCAAAAACCTATTGGAAAAATCCACACGAAAAGACTTGCTTGCAAAAGTTTCTAAATCCCAATCCCAACTTAGTTTTTGTCTACACATGACAAAAAAAAAATATCCATTCCTTTTTTCCCACTATTGATTTGATTCCATCCCCACAAAAGAAAAATATCTCCAAACCCATTTTCTTCCGAGTCGCGGCCATTTCTTCCATATCCATGGCAGCCCTCTCCGCCGGCCACCGCCATTTCTTCCGCCGCGGCGCCGCCGCCCAGCAGCTCAGAACCAGACGCAGCAGCCCCAAATCGATCGTCCTCCTCTGCCGCCACAGCCAAGATCCTTCAGAAGAAAACTCGAAGGAAGGGGAAGAAAGAAAGCAGCAGAAGATTGGAGGGTTTGTTGAGCGATTTGAGAAGATGGGAATGGAATTGAAGGAGAAATTGAGCCCTCAGAGAAAAGGGGACTGGAAAGATGTGGCATTGATGAGCTTATCTTTTGCTGTTTATGTGTATATTTCTCAGAAGATTGTGTGCGCTTATTTTGTTTGGATGTCAATGCCAAAGCAACAACTATGGTAGAACAAGAAGATGAATTTCAAAGGAAAGGTTTATCAGATCCCTTCTTCTGTTTTATAAAATTGGTATTTTCTGTTGTAGTTTGAAATTTGTGTATGATACATAAGTTTGGAAATTTGTAGAAAATAGTATTCACATGGTTGAGATCAAATTCTTATTGTCTACGTTGATATTATCTTTGGATTCTAGAAAAATCTATGAACTTCTCGTACTGATACTAGAATTTGATAGGTCTTTCTTCTACAAATTGAAGGTTCGAATCTTTACCCACAATTACAATGTCTCATTCACACTTTGATCATAAAAAGGAGTTATAAGGTTAAAACAATTTATTGTCTCATGTTTAAAATACATTGAGAGAGAGAGAAGAAACAAATGTTCTACTCAACCATGGAAAACCTTACACTGAAGTGAAAGTTCAAGACCAGAATTTATCTCAGGGCTCAAGTTCCTAACATCACAAGCAGTTCTCAACACAGTTCTTCAAAAGCTATACCTAGTCAGCTCGGTGCTTTTCGCGCTTGAAGAGACGATAGAAGAGCGATATCACCCATTGCCAAACAAGTATCAGCTGAGTAACGATTATTCCATGCTTCGGTTTTGGATCGGGTCTGGGACCGAAAATTCCCTTGTAGATCTCCTTTTGCTTTTGATAAACAGCCTTGTTGTGTTCGGCGAGCAATTTGAGCTCCCTAGTGATCGCCTTGTCTTCGGGTGCATACTTGCGCGCTTTTAACAAGTCTTCCTTAGCTGCATCGGTTTGCCCGAGTTCTGCTCTAGCCTTACCCCGCCTGAACAAGGCCTTGGCATTGTTTTCATCCTCTGCTAATACCTGTCAGACAAACCAATTAAATGAGCTTGAAACTTTTAGCACTCCCATTTATCACAAAATCAGAACAGCGGCATTAAGTTCACGCGTTAAGTTTGTGTAACTTGAAGTTAAAGAAGTTGAATCTATATTGGGATATTATCCCCAGCAATAAATTTGATAATTTCACTGACTATATAAACTCAAGCTTTGTAATTGCTATCGGTCATAAACTCACAAGCCAAACCCATATTCCACAAATTCAAGTTTCTTTCTATAAACTTATTTCTGAGCATAATCTAAAATCAAGGTTTCCCAATGCTAAACTCGAGTTTTCCAACCCGTGAACCAAAAATCCTGAAATACTTCTAATTTTTAAAAAGAAAACGTGTAATTCACATAAGCATCCATCCGTATGTCTCCCCGAAGTGGAAAGAAATGTATAAAAGTAGATCGAGCTATCGTCCTCCCACTTCTTCTCCAGTATGTCTACACTATTACCAAGAAGTCCTCCAACTTCATCCTCCATATTCACCTGATTACCACCTGATCTTACTACATTTGCTGGATGGAAAACTCTTGCGAGGTTAAATATCTCAAAGGCATTATGACTTCATAACCTCTACTTGAGCTAATATTTGAAGAATATATGACGAAACAAAGAGATATAGAACTTATGACACAATTTCTCTTCACCGACAAAGCATCTTATCTTACCATGCTACATTGCGCAATGGCTTCTTCATAGCGCTTGAGCTTTATGAGACACGCTGACATGTTAAGATGACACGGACTCTTAACAGCCAAAGCCATATCACGGTACTTCCCAAACAACTGGAACATGAAATCATCGCCCATATATGCTATGGCCTAGACAGAAACCATCCAAAATACTTATCAAGAATATGATCATTATCTTCTGAAATGTATGTGACTTGAAATTTAAAGAAAATGTGTGAAGAAAGGGAAAGCATGTAACCATTTCATACTGTTGCATAGCCTCTTCCAGCTTTTCCTCCTTGAATAAAGCATTGCCATCCATCTTTCTGCGATCGGCTGCACTAATTCTTTCTTCCACCGTCATGTCACTTCGAGCTTTTCCCTGAGAACAAAACAGTAAGCTACTATTGGATGGACCAATGAGATTGAAACTTATAACAGGGTTAGCTACTATTGGATTACTTCTTTCGTCTCGTCAAACCCTATGAGCTCGACTTCGTATAATACATCTGCCATTGGCGGAACGTTCGGGAAGGAAAAGCTTCCTTCCTTTCCATAAGCTAATTCCCATCCCACATGCAATAATGCACGCTCCCCCGACTTCATACTGGTAACACCAATGCTCAAGCCAGTCATTTCTTTCTTTTCTGTAACAGAAGAAAACATTAGGATTATGATGATATCAGAAAAACATATCAATGGTCCAAGTTACAGACCCAAATACATACCTTTTCCTATTACAAGTTCAAGTGGCTGTTGTTCATTCCATGTGTCCTCAAATTTGTGCTGCGTGCTCTCAGTCCACGCCCGATAATGCACTGACATAAAAATTCGAAGGGACTCGATCAAGAAAAGGCTTTTGAGGAGAGTAGAGATGCGTAAAAAATTACATTTCTGATGAAACAAAATCGTTGCTTGAGCAAAGATACTGTGACATTATTATTAATTAGATAGTTTCAATAAAAAAAAAACAAAAAAAACAATAATGAGTATAGCAGTATGTTGGCTTTTCTATCCAAATATACAAATCTTAGTTTGAGTTGGCTTTAAAAGTTGGGACTTTTGCAATAATATCATATTTGACCTAAATAATCCCAGATCTATCATATGATAAAAATATTTTACAAAAATGGTACAAATGTAAGAACCTGTATATTAGAAATATAGGTACACAAATGATCTACTTTATATTAGGTATACTAGTGATGTACTCTTTAAATGATACAAAAATAATATATCAATGGTATACGAAATAAAAATACATAAATTACCACATTTGCGAAAAGAATTTGAAAACCTTTAAACCACCAATCTTGATCAGTAGACCTTGTTATATAATTATAAAATTTGATTAATGAAGCTACAAAAGTCAACTTTTTGATGAAGTGAGAATGCTGACAACTTATCACTTGAAAATATAACGAATCTACAACTCACACACAGGAAATACTCCAAATCATCATAATCAACAAGGTACTGGCAAGGTATCAAAGTTACACATAAGCATATATGGTACTCATACTTACAGAAGCATGTTGAGTATTTGGACGGTTTCTGACCATGACCTTCCTTAATAATTTGTTTTGTAACTTTCTCCTGGAGAACTTCCACTTCGGAATCAACTTTTGGGGGGGCAGTATCGTTGCTTGGAGGTTCCTCATGCACAGCAGATACACCTTCAGCTACTATTTCATTTTCACCTTCTTGACCTAGGTGATTAGTAGGTTCACTAATGTTAGTTGTGATTCCTTAACATGAAGCGCAATCATACTATAGGGATTCGATGATAACCCATCATACAAATTGGGATTTGTTGAAGAAACTTTTGACCTTTGACGCCTTAGATGTTCTCAAATTTAGAAATTGATTGCTTGTGCATGTAAAGCATGTTTAGAATGACACCAAGCACCGATTTATGGAGATGCCACTCATTATAAATCATAAGTGTCATCAAGCACAAGAAATACACTAAAGAGATGTTTTGAATGAAACTAAGCACCCACTTAAGAAAATTTCCCATTTGAAACCAAGAATAGGCGAATGTCATATTCTGACAAACAAAGAGAAATTAAATTCGTAGCAAACCCATATACATCACTTACGCCATAGCAAACCCATATACAAAAGAAAACAACTCAATCTATCCAATTCAAGGGAAAATGGAAGAGATGAAATAATGAAGAATCCAGGATTCAAGCTATCTTATAAGAAGAATATGATGAGGGGGTTTCCTATACAACAAGACTTGATCTGCCCCACTTTAGCACCACATATATTGAGCCAAAAGGAAGTGCATCAATCCTTACAATTTTAACAAAAACAAAACCAAAATGTAATGGGAGACAAATGAAGGATCCCACAGTCAAAATGTAACCCGTTACAAGTCGAATTGAGAATGCTCTAGGATGGGTATTGGATGAATTTGTCAGAAACTATTTGCCTATAATAAATAAATGTTAGAATTTATCAGGTTACGATTTTCTAAATAAGAGCCAAGAGTCAACCATGTTAATTTTACCAGAAAAAAGCAACCTTATGGTGACCTCACTACTACTTACTGTCAGAAACTTTAACTTTCAACTTTGACAAACTTTACTATTTTAAATTATGCCTAGTTTCATAACCTATGTTTTCTATTTTTAAAAATTATACTTTCACAATTTTGTCTGGCTTAAATTTTGAAAATGTTTTAAAAAAGTAGTTAACAGAACAAAGAAATACGTAGTATTTATAAGCTAAAATTTTCAAAAATAGTAATCAAACGAAGCCTTAATGGAAAGTTAAGTTGAGGGGTTTTAAGGCAAAAGTAAAACACAAAGATTCAATCATAACAGGGGAAAAAATAAAGTCAAAGAAATAACCTAGATTATGGTTCTGTTGCTCCTGCTCATCATCCATTTCTTCACCTGATAAACCAGATGACTCCCCAAAATATATCTGCATTGAAGCAAATTGATAAGGGATATAACACTTAACCAACAAAACGTAGGCTTAAAATCCAACTAATTGAAAATGAAGAAATTAGCTCAGCAAGTAACATAACTACCAAATTCAACAACAAAAGTTGATTTTAATGGTCTAGAACATCTTCACAAGGCCAGAAACCGTAATCTTTCTCTCTATTCAAAATGCAATCTCTCTTTCCAGCAGATGTTCTCAGCAACCAAACAAAATATTGAGAGCAAAAGAGAAATGAAAAGAAGAGAAATTGAGGTTGCAGAGAGGGATTTCAAGCACTTACACTGAGTCAGAGACGCACTTTTCTTAGTGGGTCGATCAATTTCGCTGTTCTTTTCAAAGATCGAAGAAGATTCTAGAGAGTGGTCTCGCAATTTGATTTTCTAGAGAGCAGATTTTAGAAGCTGGACTGGACGATGAATTCGTATTTACTTTTAATTCTTTTTTTTTAATGGAACAAAACGCAGTTTTTTCCTTATTTATTAATTGCCAGAGCGAAGA